TGGTAATTTGGATTTGAACAGTGAATTCAGCTCCATTTTGTGTGATTTAATAATACTATTCTATTTATCAGCTGGTTTTCTATAAATTTATGTTGCGTTGCATTTGAGGTCAACATATCTAAGTTTTGTTTGTGCAGGGATGAATTTTGAATGTTGAGTTGTATTTTATAATATATCTGCTGATTTGTTGGAAAACTTGTCAGTTAAAGTTTCATGTAAGATGGAAGTCTATCTCTGTTTGTATGGTGGTTATACCTGAACTTGTTTTATTGATTGTTTCTGTTTTATCTGACAGAGGGACACTATTATTGACATATTCTTTGAGAGGCATTTGGGGCAACTGATTGATGTTATAACAACATCTTGTCCTTCAGAAAATACAGTTGACGAAATTGGAAAATCAATAGGTCCTGGACAAAGAGTTCAGTGTCAGAGTGGAGCAAAGCCAGAGATACTATCAAACATATGTGAATTACTATGCTTTTGTGTCCTACATCATCCATACAGAATAAAGTATTTCCTTGGTGCTCTGCACTATCAGAATTGACTTTGTGCTGTTAAATATGAAAATTATGTTCAAGAATCTCTCTTTGCTGTTTTTAGGTGCAACTTTCTTCTTAATAATGTGATTGAAAAAATATTGCTACTGACTCGGAGAGCAGAAAGATACTTAGTTGTTGGTGCTGTCCGGTTCGTTCGAACTATTCTCTCCCGCCACGTAAGTTTAACATCTATGCAGATACTGTGACTTGAAGGGAAATCTAAATATTATTAATCTGATTAACATCTATGCAGATACCGTGACTTGAAAAGGAAAAATTCTAAATATTATTAATCTGATTATATTTCTGTTTAGGGGCGATTTACATGGTGTAGACAGATGCTTGTTACTACTTTCCCTTAATAGAGCTGTTACCGGCTACAAGTCTCTCCTGATAATATATGATTGAGAAATAAATCTGTGCACATAATAATACAGGAAAATAAAGGATAACTCTCGACACTGTTTCATTATGAAATTGTGGGGAAAATGCAAATTGGTTGAAGAAGGGAAGAATGTAGTGGCTTGGCGTGGCAATTTATTGAATTTTAGGGGGTTCTTGATTTGGTATTACTATGCATTTTCCCTCTGCTGTTCTTGAGACAGAGCAAAGTAACTAATATTGAAATTTGAACTTGGATCATTTGGTCACATTCAATTTATGGGCCTATTTTATAAAATAGGTTATATATTAAATTTCATGTGCTAGTAATATTCAGTTTATGACTGGTATGTTATGATTTTGTTTTGTAAGATGTGTGTTTGTTTTTGGTGTATAATGGTTGTACTAACTTATGGCCTATAATATATTCTATCTGAACCCCTCTTTATAATTTGTGCTTAAGTATCCTGGTTGAAATTGCATTAAGCATTTTGTGTATCATACAACATTACACCATTTATAAAATATATTTCAATTTCAAGCTATTTTTCATTGTACTTCTAAATCTTACCATTTCCATTTAAAACTAATTTTCTCCATTTATGATCTGAATTGACATTTGATAACCTTGTACATCAGAATTATTAATTATCTCTTTTCATATATTTGTTTTTGAACCATGTTTTAAGCTAGAGTTTTGTATGCTGCCACTTGCTATTCTTTAGATATATTGTTGTGTGACTAAGTTGTATGTATGTTATTTTGGAGCTCATAGTTCTTACTATATTACCAAAGTAAATGTTTTTCCTTTATAAAAATAGTTCATTTGCCTTATTTACGTGCATTTCATCTAACTTTTTGGAGTGTTAACCTGCAGGATGAGCATCTGTTAAATTATTTTGTTAGGAATAATGTTCTCAAACCAATTATTGATGCCTTTGTTTCTAATGGCAATCGCTACAATCTGCTCCATTCTGCTGTTTTGGAACTTTTTGATTTTATTCGGAAGGTGTGAATCTTTAATAAGTTATTGTTCTGGATTTTAAATGGCCCAAACAATGTTGCACTGATATTGTTGTATTGTGTAGGAGAATATGAAATTATTGGTGAAATACGTAGTTGATACTTTTTGGGGCCAGCTGGTGAAATTCGAGTATCTGGCTTCGATTCACTCACTGAAATTAAAATATGAGCAGGTAAGTCTTTTTTTTTCTTCCCTTTTCGAGCATTACTTCTGGACCAAACACAGGTTTGACTTTACGTGCTTGCTTGCAGTCTTTGGATAATGGTGAGACAAAAGATGCCTCTACTGTAGTGGACCTACGAAGACGAAATGATGAACGTGGTCTGGAGAGAGAAGAAGAACGGTACTTTAATGAGGACAGGTACATATATTCTTTCTTAATCACTGTAGGTGATTTTCAATTGTTAATACAATTAGCATGGGGTCTCTCAAGTTTCGGGGATTTGATCAGTGATGAGGAGGATACTGCTTCTGCATCTGTTCCACGTAATCAGAAAGGACACCAGCAACCTAATCTATCCAATGGAGTTGCTGCCAGCTATTCGCAGTTATGGTAAACCTCTGTTTGTTAGTATCATGCTTTATTTTATGAACTCCATATGCTATAATTTGTTCGTCGTGTCTTTCAGTACAAGGTCACTGGTTGACTATGATGATGATGAGGATGATGAAGATTACAAGCCACCACCAAGGAAGCAGCCAGAAACTTCTGAGGAAGATGATGGGATAATGGAGTCTCTCAGGCTGAAGAGGAAATTACCTTCAAAAGATAAGGAACCTGAACTTGTGAAGAAACAGAAGTTATCAAAGAATTCTAAATCTAAAGATAGTGTTTTTGCTGCTTTGTGTTCAACATTGAGCCAAGCTGTGCTACCTAGTAAGAAACCATCAATCAGCATTCAAACAAGTGCTCGAACAGTTGAGGGGAGGGTGGTATCAAGCGAAGATAGTCAGGGAGATGTACAGAATATTTCTAGAAGCAGTTCTGATAATAGCAACATTGCAGCAGAAGATAATCACGTGGAGAAAGAAGCTGAAGCCTCTAGAAGCTTTTCTGATTGCTTGCATGCAAAATCAGATAGCAAACAATTGGGTGCAGAGGAACGTCCATTGGTTACCGCAAAATCCTCACCAGAGATGGCCGTAAATGGATCGTAATCTATCAGAATCACATTCAGGAAAGCAGATTGTTTGTTTTATTTGGCGTATAGATTTGCTAGTGGGTAAGTGGTTGCTGACTACATACCGATATAGCTGAGATGAAGGAAGTTTACCTACAAGGGGGTAAATTCTGCTTATGCGTTGCATCGAGGAATTGGGAATACTGTACAGTGCCACCAAGAGGCGGGAAGATATTAATACAGCAACCAGGGTGGATCTGCTCCTATTCTTCAGTTTGCTATTTTGGGCTTTTGAGCTTAGTAGTTGTTGCTTTTGTATGACATTCCTGAGAAATAATTTCCTGTATTTTCCCCTTCTACAAAATTTACCTCTTCCAGCTCATTTATTTTCGAAGTTTCTGCCAGAGTATCCGATGTGCGGGTGAGGGGTTATCTGTTATATTATACACCCTTCTCGGTATTTGAACTTCGCCATAGAGGGCGCCAATATCTGCCCTACACAGGTTTTTTCTGTGTTTTTTTTCTTCTTTTTTTCGGTGGTGGGTGTTAGTAGGAATACGTGCAATGAGCATCTAAGGCACATTTTTCACTAATGTAGGGAATCTTCAGCCGTTGTGAATCTGTATTAAACTGTTAAGTATTGCATAGGACTCTGCAGCTTTCACATCGTAACTTTTTTATTGTTGCTGCTTGACCATGCATTGATCTTGTACGACTTTGATGCTTTACGCTAATTTCTGTTTTGACGTGGTTGCGCTACGGCTGTTCACGTTTGCTAGGTTTTTTTGGGTGGTGTTGCTGCAGTTTTCACATGAAACATAGGTTATTGTCAGTAGTCCAATCAAGGTCCTGAAAATTGATTTCATGATTGAACTAGTTGAGTTAATTATTAGTTTAACGGGAAGCAATGTATTCAGCTGCTGGAAGAACGTAGTACAAGCTGGTGCTTCATCCCTGGTAGATATATGTGGCTGGGATATGTCGTTCCGTAGTTATGTATAAGAGCATCTCCAATATCTAATAAGTTCTCCTTGGTATCTTATAATGTCACATAGTAGGTTGATTGATCATTGTAAGGTAGTTTTTAAAACTAATTATGTAAATGGGGTTGTTTTAAAATTATTTACATCTTTAGAATAGTTTATTACAATGTCGCTATGAGTCAGCGACACTAGTCCTACATGAAATTTTTTTTTTCTTAGGAACTATGAAAGTCATTATAAAAGTCGTTACAATAAAAGTCGTTACAGTTGGTAGCCTCTTGTAAAGTCGTTACAGCCCCTAACGACATAAAACGGTTTCATGCTCGGCTGAAAATTTTAAAAAAATAAATTAATAAAATCGTTATAACCTATAATCACATTAATTAATTATTTTTTACAAAATAATTTATTTAAAATTTTAATATATAATAATTAAAAATATATATATTAACTTATTTAATTTTTTATAATGTATAATTATAATTTTAAAAACTGGACAAAATAAAAAATATATATACAAAATTTGTAAAACAGTAAACAAAAATTATAAAAATACATGTGAAAAAGAAAAAAAATAAAAAAAAATGCAAAAGAAAAAAAATGAATGTTAAAATAATTTTTTTTTTAAATAATAAAATAAATGTGGAGAAAAATGCATCTGGAAAAGAAAAAAAAGGAAAAAATAAAAGATAAAATTAATTGAAGAAAAAAATATATTAAAAAATGCAAAAAAAAAAGTATAAAATAAAAATTTAAAAAAAAATTGATAAAATAAATGTGGGAAGAGTAAAAAAAACATTACAATATATAAAGACTAAAAGTACAATCAATTAAATTAAAAATTAAAAATGTCAATATTTTGTTAGTTCAAGTGAAAGTAAGCTAAAAGACTTGATACTGTTTGAATTCAAATATCGTGGATTAAAAAGAATGTTATAAGAGAGAGGTCTTACTAAACCATTTGCCGTGAGCTGGAATACATTTATTATTTCTCATTGTTCGTACATCAAACACACATTCGCTAGTCTTTTTGACATAGCAAATAATGTCTCTCCTGTGCAAGGATTCAAGAATATAATATGCTGAATTCCTCTACGTTGAACCTTGGCTTGAGCAAGGAATGAAGAGTCCTATCTCTCCAACGGTTGCCACAAGTTGGGTTGCAGCAAACAAAAATGAGAGCCATGCCTTCTTCCCCTTTGACCGGTGCCTACATACATTCAGAAATTTCAGAACACCCTCGATTTGCTGAAACATGGTTTCGGAACGTGCACACTGAAATTTTACTATAAATTGCAATCAAAAGAGCATTATCTTCAATGTTAATTCAAAAGGGATTAAAAAAATTCAGATTCAAGGCATTACAATGAAACTTCTTTCAACTAAACATCATATATGCATTAATATTTGTGGACACTGGATAGATATGCACGTTAGAATTTAATGGCTCAAGATTTGCAAATAATAGGAGTGAACTCGTTGAGGTGCACTGTTCGGTGTTAAGTAACTAAATTAGCATTTCAACAAGTAGCTTACTGAAAGTGTCTTCTTCCTCCTAACTTGTAGCCTATGCTCGCAGACCAATCTCTCTCCATAGGAGAGTGTCTACCACTTAATTCGATTGGAGCAAGCCATGTTGCCACAATGAATATACTGCACCATATTACTGAACATTCTAACTTTTCCAATTAGTGTTGCACTGTTGCTTAAAGGCAATTTTTGAATTTGGTTATGTGAGAATGAGTTTTGAAGAGATAGAAAGCCAAGGAATGCATGGTCTTGGAGAGAACGCAACTTGGAATGCAGGATTTGGTTATTAGAATGCACAGTTACTATGGGGTTCAAGTAAAGAAAAAGTAAATTGGGATTGAAAGGAAAGTCGCAGAAATTTCAAAATTGCCACCCCCATAGCGAAAATTGCTCGAAAATAGTTCTTTTCTGCCACAGTGAAGTAGGACTTAACCTGGAAAAGGACAGCTTCTCCGCGATTGCATTGAGAGCAGCTAACAGACTTGGTGCGAGGAAGTGTTGGATCTGCAGCTACATTTTCCGGATCCCGAGTGCGCAGTTGAACAGAATGACGTATCTTATTTCTAGAGACAACGTTATTATCTGCAGCCTCCTGATCAACAGTGGATAATTTAACAAACACGCATATCCAAAACTAACTGAGAACATCAAAACTGGATGTGATCCCTTCCTTCCAATAGTTTTATCATATAAAAAACAAGGGTGACAATTTTATTTTAGCAAAAACAATATAAAAAAATGTACAGCGTTAGTCAACGCTCTATTTGCTTTTGACATGAAGTGGAAACACAATAATTGACTACGAAAATGCATGGCATGGGGACAGTAAGTCAGAATAAAAAACGGGCCAGGGCCTCTGCAAACATGTGTCAATCGGATAAAACGGTCTCATCTCTCATGTTACTGGATTCAGTTTTATTAGATAAGGTCTAGAATCTAATTATATTCTCCCACGAAACTTACTTATCTACAAAATCAATAAATATTTGGTATCAAAATCACGAATAACATAAAGTCAATTGTGAGTGACAGCAAATCAAAGGCCATTCATGCATTAAACCAGCAGGGTAAGTTTTCCTTAGAATTTATATCTATAATCTATAACATATATAAGAATAATAATCAAATTAATATGTATTTTTTAAAGAGTTAATTATCTATACAATGTCAGTGTAAAATTTTTTTATACTAAAAACCAATCATATTTTTTAGTAGTGTCATGTCAATTGTTCATTTAATAAAATAAAATAATTCAAAATATATAATTAGTTGTTAGAGTAAAAAATTTTATCCTAATAATATATGAATGATTAACTCTTTTTAAAATGATTTATTATTTAAATTTTTAAATAATAAAAAATAATATTAAAAATAAATGGTTCTTAAAATTTGAAGATAAAAAATAATTTCAATTAATGCAACATATATTAGTAATTGTTAAACATTTTTATTAAATAAAAATATAGACACATGTATCGATAGATAAGCGACATTCATGTTAAAAATCAGGTTAAAAACCTCTTTTCGTCCCTTATATTATTTAATATTTTCAATTTAGTCCCACTTTAATTTTTTGTTTCAATTTAGTTCCCAATAATTAAAATCGTTGCAATTTGGGACTTCCATCCAAATGATTTAAACGGAGTTAACTGGTGGCCACGTGTATGTCAGGTGGATGCCACGTAGGTGGATCCAAAAATACTTGAATACACCTGGAACCAGAACGGCCCGTTCTGAAACCAGAACGGCCCGTTCTGGTTACATTATTGATGTGTAAAATTTGAACCTGGAACGGCTCGTTCCAGGTCCAAAATTAACACATCAGCAGTGTAACCAGAACGGACCGAACGGACCGTTCTGGTTTTGGAACGGGCCATTCTGGTCCAAAATTTCGTGCAAAAAAAACCAAAGTACAAAGCATTTTTTTTAGGGAAAATACAAAGCATTTCAAACACTAGATTTAATAATATTGTTAATAGTATATCATTAAGGATGATGCAGTGTATCACTAAGGGCAATGATAACAAGTTTTATTTCATTGTTAGTCAAACTAGAGTGAATTACTTACTACCAAATTGACACTATACAGTTAAGGATAAAACGAAACAGTGTTTTTCGTTAAAGTCATTAACGATGTACCCCAACAATAGTAACATGTTCTTGAGGAGGTACCCCTAAACCCTGAATTTTATTTTCAAATTTTGAAATACATTGCGACATTTTAGTCAAGATTTTGAACTGGATAAATTCAAATCAAAAAAATATTTTAGAAGGTCTTATCTTATTTGATTTTTTTTTATAGTTTTACTCATTAATGAATATTAATTTATTGTATTTTTTATTTATTATATATTTATTAATACAGATATAATAAAAAATATATATATAATAAAAAGCATGACGTTCTGGGACGGACCATTTTGGTTTCTGATTTTTTCACGAATTTTGGCGTCCACGTGCGCATCCACGTGGCATCCACGTAGATGCCACGTGGCCAATAGTTAACTCCGTCTAAATCATTTGGACGGAAGTCCCAAATTGCACTAATTGAAGTTATTATGGACCAAATTGAGACAAAAAATTAAAGTGAGACTAAATTAAAAATATTAAATAATGTAAGGGACCAAAACAGGTTTTTAACCTAAAAATCACAAATCGTAGCTATTCCAAAATTCAATCTCCAATTGATCATATTCGTTAATAAACCATCAGATCCAAGACTTCTGAGAGCAAATCGCGGCACTAATTTCATTCCAAAGCAAATCCATTGTAATAAGCGGAAAGGTTACTAGAACGTTAATGTTTAGGTTTAGCCAATCTCGAAAATTTGCTTAAAGGAATTATAAATGGAAGGAAGAGAGAAGAGGGAAGACCTCGTGATTGCAGTTGCGGCAAGCGTAGAGAAGAAGCTTTTGATCCTTATCGGCCTTAGGATACAGAACGTTGTTGCTGCGTGCGAAATGAAGAAGCATTCATCAATGTCATATATATTCATTTCAGTAGAAGATAAAGAATCGCCAATTGAAAGAAACAGAGGAAAATGGGTACAGTAGAGACCATTGGCGACAAAATTTCAAGGTACTCATCTTTGAGAGAGTGAGAGAGCAGAATCACATTACGCTTTCTCGATTTGCGGGCTCTCTCTATTAAATATATATTCACTCGGGATGTCAAAATTTATTCAACATTAGGTTAACTTCACATTTCAATGTTTCGACTCCTACAACTACAAACACCTAATTCCATAATCAAATCATAGGTTAGATTCATGTCAAAATGCTTATTAAAATTTTAAAACAGTAAATTACACTTACATTTCAAAGGATTTTGTAAAATTACAATGACACTTTTTTTTTTAATGTTCACGGTCTTTTTTTTTAATTTAATGTTTTAATGAGTGTTAATATAATGTTTTTCAAAAAAAATGAAAAAGACTATTGTAGGAGTACAAACAATATAAGGTATTCGGACAATTTTACCAAATAAAAAAGTGTTTTATGTAATTAACTTTTTTTAAAAATAATGTATAAAGGAAGTCATTCATAATTTTTTTAAGGTTAAACCTTAAAGATTGGAATTTTTTATAAAAAAAAATATAAGATCGATCCGAAAATTTTATTATTTCCACCAAAGAATTTATCAAAATGGATATAAAATCTAATTTTGTGAAGAAAATGTACTATTTGTTAAAAAAAATTATTATTTAAAATTTTTTATAACCATTTTGACATCAATCAAATCATTTGATATTTGTTGAAAACTCTGAATACAACCATTATTCCTCCTTGTTGTTCTGGCATCAATGTGCATTAGACCTTTCTTTGTTTTTAGAGTTCATTTTTTTCTTTCTCCTTCAACATCTTTCTCCAAAAAAAGTGCTAGTATCCTTCAATTAGATCATATAGTCTTAAATTATTTAAACATTTAGTCAATATTTTTTTTTATAGAATTCATGCATAAATTAAGATATTACAACTTATAAATAAGAGTGGTGTTTATCCTCCTGTGAGTATAAAAAATTTGACAACGAAAAGGTATTGGGGCAGAATATTACCAACTGCTTTTATTGCAAACTTTTCCATTAGGATTGCATTTCACAACTAATGTAACAAAAACCTTAAAATTGAGAAAAGTTAAGTATCGTTGCATCCAAATGAAAGTAATGCTAAAGTTAAGAGAACAAATGAAATACTTGTCATACATTTTATAACTTTCTAAGCAATCTAACATGTAACAGAAGATGAACCGTGTTAGCTCGATACACTCACAACATATAAAAAGGTGCAATGTTATTTTCACAATTTGGACTTGGGTCACAAATAGCAAACTTACCGTTGTATCAAGATTCATCCTCAATTGTTACAATGTCACTATTTGAAATAATAATTACCCTTAAAAATCCATGATTAAGGATCAAAGTATGCCAGGTCAAAGTAAGCAAAAAGCTAAAGTAACTTGATGTAGTCTAGATGCAAGAAAGGCCTCAAAGATATAAAATATAAAAAAATCAACATTGTTTTGAAAGACTAGAGCAACACAAAAATAATGTTGTATGTAAATGAAAGTATCCATTATGATAACATTTGAAACTTGCATCAATTGCAAAAGCATCCAAGTTCTTAATCATCTCAATAAAGCACATCCACAAAATTGAATTTTTTTACTAAAAAAAATCACATTCTGCATTACTCATCACAAATAAGCACCGTATCTGCTGAAACTTGATGATTGTATCCGTAGACCATGTAAAGATTCACCTTATTACCTTGATTCACTAAACCTTTAGTTGTTCCACTCAACATGTTCTTTAGTCTCATTCAAAGTCTTTAACATGCCTCATCTTTCTCTAACTACTTTTATCATCAAAACCAGAGTTTGAAGCATAATTTGAATCAAATGGTTTTGATGATGTACTATACCTTTTGCATCTTCCTCTCTTTTGTTTCTTCTTCCTCTCTTTTGTTTCTTCTTCCTCGTTTGCCATTGTCCTTCCTTTGAATCAAACGAGGAACTGTAACTCAAACTACTTCTAAAAGAAGAATATGAACGTGTAACAGGAGATGACTCGTTGCCTCTTTGGACGATCCTAAATAAGAATTGTGGGACAAAGGGTAGAAACATGACAACAACATAAATTAATTAATTTTTCACAATGATTTTAGTGGTCTTAAATCCTAAACTCCCTTCCCATATTTAATCTAATCCATTTAATTCGAAATTAATATAAAAAAATTATATATTTTTTATATTAATTTTGTAAATAATTATAGAAAGTATATTCAATTTTATAGAAATAATAAAAATATAAATAGACTTTTTTTTTATTGAAACGAAAGTACAATCTTTATTCTTATTTATAAGATTTAACATAGAACAACTACTTATTTCATTATATAATATATAATTAACATTATTTCATATATTAATTATTTTTATATTAAAATACTTATAAGTAAAGTGTATTATCTAAAGTTGGTAAAATATATTAATTATAAATTTTTTAAATAGCATATACTTTAATTGGTTACAAGAAAGATAAATATGAATTAGGAGAAAAAATAATATAAAACACGTACTCTAGAATATTAATTAGAAAAAAATAATATAAAGATAATTTCAAAATCTATATATATATATATAAATAAGACAAACTTATTATTATCAATTAAATTAACTATTTTTTTTAATATTGATGAATTAGATAATTTGATCATATATAGAAACAAAGGTAGTATATCAAATTTTATTTATAAAACACAAATTTATAATTTTTTTTCGATAATAAGTTCTTCAGAATTTTTTTAACTTTATATCTAATTTTATTTTTATTTATCATAATTATTTATGAATTAAATTTTAATATTTTTTCAAAATATTTTGTTATATAAAACATGAATAATTATATCAAGTGAAAACATTTTTAAAAGTATTTTTTTCGATGAATTTTTTTTAAGAATTTGTTTAACTTTACATTTAATTTGATGTTTATTTATTATAATTAATAATGAATTTAATTTTAATATTTTTAAATAAATTATCAATAAATAAAATAACTATATACTATAATATAAGTTATTTATAATAAGTTTAAGTTTTTTATTTATGAACTCATAATTTTAAAATATAATTTATACATTTAAAAATGTATAGTTATTCAAAATTTAAATATAATTTAAATGTTTAAATTTTAGTTAAATATTAACCTATACATTACAAAAGAATAATTTTATTTATTTTACATTAGTATCCTAACATCTTGTCTTAGACTAATTTAACTTAGTGTAGAGGTATAAAATAATAGTTTCATATTAATAAAAATATATTTAAATATATTTTTAGTTTCTCAAATTTATGATAATTTTGTTTTAGTCTTTCAAGTTTAAATTATTTTTTTAGTTATGTAATTTTTAAAAAAATGTTTTAATTTTTTAATTTATTAATAACACATCTAAAAATAATAAATTAATTTTTTTATTAAGATATTAATAAGTAGATTTTGTTCCCTAAAAAATGTAAATAGATTTTGTGTGATAATATTTAATAATTTTTTTTAAAAAAATAAATATAAAAATTAAAACAGTTCTTCTCAAAACTATAAAATAAAAAAATATTAATTTTAAATTTAAAAGATTAAAAATATACTTTTAAGTCATAAGAATAAATTTTTGATATTTGGAATAAAACCGCGTGAAGTAGATGGTAAAAATATTTTTAAAAATAGAGGATATTCTCTTATAAATTGTTATTGTCAGACGTACATTACAATCATCCGCGGATGAACCCTAATTTGTTTTGCTCAAAAATGTCTTCGTGCTGATTAAAATGATCAGAGCCCTGTCCAATTCCTCAAAGCTGCATCAAGTTTTGGAATCGGAGAGCAAAGACAACTTCCTGCCCAATCCCTATTGAGGTAAGATCTTTACACGATTCATTCTCTCCCTGCTCCCTCTAAATTGAATTCAATGCTCCGATCTTTATTATGATTTCAATTTCAATCGCTTAAGCTTAGTCGTAGATCCCAAAATTCTTGTTCAAAATTGATTCAGAGGATCTTATATTGGGTTTAGTCCCCAGCCCCACCCCCTTTTATCACTGTGAAATAACCCTAACTGTGATTGTTGCATCTGCAAAATACCTCAACCGACGATCGGGATTTTTTTATTTTCGAAGGATTTGCAACGTTGTTTTTACGTACATTTGAAACTTGAATGTTTTGTCTGCTCTTAATCACAGGTGTTGATTTTTCATCGTTTGCAATTAGTTTCTGGGGAACTTTTGTGCTGTGGAGTTTATCTATTTGTCATAGAAGACAGATAAAAAAACATGTCTGATAAGAAGGAAGAGAAATCGCAGGCTGCGGCTGAAAGAATCAAGGCTGCAGCCTTGACTGCTGCTAAAGGCCTTAGTCGTGCCCAGGCTGAAAGGGCGGCGGCCGCGGCGGCCCGAAATGTCAATGCTTATGGGCAGAAAGAAGAAGGGGTATAAAATAATAGTTTCATATTAATAAAAATATATTTAAATATATTTTTAGTTTCTCAAATTTATGATAATTTTGTTTTAGTCTTTCAAGTTTAAATTATTTTTTTAGTTATGTAATTTTTAAAAAAATGTTTTAATTTTTTAATTTATTAATAACACATCTAAAAATAATAAATTAATTTTTTTATTAAGATATTAATAAGTAGATTTTGTTCCCTAAAAAATGTAAATAGATTTTGTGTGATAATATTTAATAATTTTTTTTAAAAAAATAAATATAAAAATTAAAACAGTTCTTCTCAAAACTATAAAATAAAAAAATATTAATTTTAAATTTAAAAGATTAAAAATATACTTTTAAGTCATAAGAATAAATTTTTGATATTTGGAATAAAACCGCGTGAAGTAGATGGTAAAAATATTTTTAAAAATAGAGGATATTCTCTTATAAATTGTTATTGTCAGACGTACATTACAATCATCCGCGGATGAACCCTAATTTGTTTTGCTCAAAAATGTCTTCGTGCTGATTAAAATGATCAGAGCCCTGTCCAATTCCTCAAAGCTGCATCAAGTTTTGGAATCGGAGAGCAAAGACAACTTCCTGCCCAATCCCTATTGAGGTAAGATCTTTACACGATTCATTCTCTCCCTGCTCCCTCTAAATTGAATTCAATGCTCCGATCTTTATTATGATTTCAATTTCAATCGCTTAAGCTTAGTCGTAGATCCCAAAATTCTTGTTCAAAATTGATTCAGAGGATCTTATATTGGGTTTAGTCCCCAGCCCCACCCCCTTTTATCACTGTGAAATAACCCTAACTGTGATTGTTGCATCTGCAAAATACCTCAACCGACGATCGGGATTTTTTTATTTTCGAAGGATTTGCAACGTTGTTTTTACGTACATTTGAAACTTGAATGTTTTGTCTGCTCTTAATCACAGGTGTTGATTTTTCATCGTTTGCAATTAGTTTCTGGGGAACTTTTGTGCTGTGGAGTTTATCTATTTGTCATAGAAGACAGATAAAAAAACATGTCTGATAAGAAGGAAGAGAAATCGCAGGCTGCGGCTGAAAGAATCAAGGCTGCAGCCTTGACTGCTGCTAAAGGCCTTAGTCGTGCCCAGGCTGAAAGGGCGGCGGCCGCGGCGGCCCGAAATGTCAATGCTTATGGGCAGAAAGAAGAAGGGCCTAGCAGATGGCAGGAGAAAAGGGAAGCAAAGAGGCAGATGTATCTAATGAGTACTGAGAAAGCTGTTAAATTGGGTGAAAGAAAAGACCTTAAGCCTGCAATGTCGGCTGCGGGTGGAGCGGCGCAGTGCCAAAAATGTTTCCAAAGTGGCCACTGGACATATGAATGCAAGAATGAACGGGTTTACATCTCAAGACCATCTCGGACTCAGCAACTGAAAAACCCTAAATTGAGGGTGAATGTCTCTGTGACTTATGATTTGGATGATAATATTCCTGATGCTAAGATGGAAAAGGCCAAAAAGAATTCCAAGAAAACCAAAAGGAAACATCGGTCTGACTCCAATTCAGGTAGTGATAGTGAGGATTCAGTTTTTGAGACTGAAAGTGGCAGCGGGTCATCATCTGTTACAGGATCAGATTCTTCTTCTGGAAGTAGTTCAGGTTACAGCTCCTCATCTGATTCAGAGGAAGAACGACGGCGGAGGAGGAAGAAGAAGCAAAAGAGAGGAAGACGCAGGAGGTACAGTACATCATCAGAATCATCTGATTCAGATTCTGCTTCAGACTCTGATTCTGATGATAAAAGCAGCCGGAGAAAGAAGAGGCATAATCGAAGACGCTGAATGAGACTGAAGAATGTGTGGAGCAACTAAGAGTTTGCTGAGTCAGGGGGACAAGGTGGATTGTGACAAGGTCTTTGAATGCAATCATCAAGGTTCCGCAGATATAGTGCTTGTTTATGATGAGTAATGTAGACTAGGGTTTTATTTTGAGTAATGAGAAAATAATTAAGCTTTGTTAGATGCAGGGTTGTTGTTGTTGTTGTGTTTTTTTTCCTTTGATTACTAGTTATCCCGAAGATACTTGGAAGTTAGATTTTATCTTTCAGCATTCAATTTTGTGGATGTGATCTATGTATGTTATATTGAGATGTTCAAGAACTTGGATGATTTTTGCAATTGATGCAATTTTCAAATGCTGTCATAGTTGGATTCGGATACTTTCATTGACAATATAATTCCCGTGTTGTTTTAGCCTTTAATAACAAAGTTGGTTTTTGCATATTATCTATATCTGAGGCCTCCTTCCCAGCATCTAGATCACATCAAAATAGTCGAGTTTGCTTGAACTTGTTGCTCACATCTCTTGGCATATTATGAACCCTGCTAGCTTTTGATTTTCATGCTTCTGTTCTGGTGGATCCCTTATTTTTGTTTAGCTCTCAATTGTAGTTAGTCTTATTTTGTTGGTTACTTTTGTTAATGGATCTTTTTATCTTTTGAAGCCTGTGACGTGTTTGTGTGTTTTGGGTAGCTATGATACCAGTGAAATTTGAAAATTATGTTGGGGCACTATCTTCTTCACTTATAATCTTCTTTTCAAATTAGAGTTCACAAACTACTCATCTAGCAATAAGAATTTATCAAGGATGCAAGCCACTTTTTATACGTTGTGTGTGTGTTGAGCTAGCACGGTTTATTGCTGATTGGTATTTAATTTTCTGTGTGTATAATTTATTTTCAAACTTTTAATCATCAATATTAACAAACATTATGTTTTAAGGACTTTTTCAGTCTTTAAAAAATTATGATGATTAAATTTTAGTTACTTAGAAATTTAATTTGTTATTGAATTAGTTTGTTTGAAAATTAATTTTTTATCATAATTTTACTTTTTGACAAAGACAAGTATGATACTATTTTATTTTTCCATCAAATATTCAATATTATAACATATAAGAAAATCAAAATATGTCTTGCCACCTTAAATTCACTTTAGCACACTAAATATAATACTATTATCTATGTAGGGGGTTTAACTCTGTTGGTTGAGTGGATTACCGGCGAATTTGTCAAAGTCCCTAATAATTATTCTTTTAATTGATATAATGATCACTTCATAGATTTATTAATGTTATTTTATAAGTAACATAAGCATCTAATAAAAAAGAGACAAATTTTCGTATATGAATATATGTTAATTGATATTAAATTTTTCTGTATGTATAAATTATATTTTTTTCCCAAACTTTTAATTTAAAAAAGTTCAATTGATAAAAAGAAATATATTAAAAAAGTCCATCAATATCTTAACAAACATTATGTTTTAAGGATTTTTCAAGTCTTTCAAAAATTATGACGACTCAATTAGTTACTTAAAAATTTAATTAGTCACTTAATACTATTTTTTTTATCATAATTTTACTCTTTTACATAGTGTAATATGATAGTATTTTATTTTTTTACCTCGAATATTCAATCCAGTCCATATAAGTAAATCATTATATACCTTACCACCTTAAAAATACCTTGAAATTTACCTTACCACACTAAATACAATACTATTGGTCAAAATTGTTGTGAAAAAAGTACATAACCATTTAATAGATAGTTTATCGTACTAAATACTTGTAAATTTGTCGAAGTCCTTACAATTTTTCTTTTAGTTGGCACAATGGTTATTTCATGGTATTATTAATATTATGTTATAATTAATATATGCATTTAATAAAGAAGTCAAATATTCTTATACACCTAAATATGTTAGTTGGTATTTATTTTTTCTGTCTATAAATTTTTCAAAGAATTCAATTACAAAAAATCCACCAATATCAAAACAAACATTATGTTTTAAAGATTTTTCATGTCTTTCAAAAATTATGATGATTCAATTAGTTGCTTAAAAGTTTTTTTTTCATTGAATTAGTTTATTGAAAATTTCTTATGAGTTTGAGTAAATTTTTCTAGAAACACTCTTAAAAAAACAAAATAGAAAGAAGAAAAAAATGAAATATTTTTTTTTTAAAACTAAAATAACCTTATATAAAAATTATTTTGTAAAAGTTCTCTTCTACTATTTTTTTCGAAATCTTATTTTTAACTTATACATAAATTAGTTTTAATTTATGAAGAAGCTTATCTTAATTTTTCTTTCTATTTTTTTCTCTTAGAAGTATTTTTGGAGAAACTTATCAAAATCTACTCCATATAAATAAATTACAATATACCTTACACCTTAAATTTAACTTTGAAACATACTTTTATTAAAACTTGATTTATTAATTTGATAACAATTATAAAAATTATAGAATTGTATGAAATTTAAAGATTAAAATCTGATGTGCAAGACCCTAAATTCAAACCTTAATATCATCGTTATAATTTGTATAGATAAAAAAAAATGTAATGTAATTATGTAGATATAAAATATATAAAAAAAATATTTTGTGAAATTTTACAAATCGTAAACGAATTTCAAAAAATTAATTGAAAATTACAAAATGTATGAGACCTAAGCCACAAAAATAAAAAAAAAATTAATTATTTTTTTAAATTAAAAGATCTAATTAAAAATTCAAGAAAAATAAAAAAATACTACTCCAAAATATTTTTGGTTTTTATCAATAGAAATGATACATCCTCCGAAATCTTTTTACCAAAACATCTTTCAAATGTTTAAAACTTTAAAATAACAAAATTAAAAAAATATTTTATTTAAAAATTTTGACAGATGTAAATAGTTGAATGCTTTAATTCGGAATCTACATCATTACTCTTTAACAACTTACACTTCAACCTATTCCCGCTCGCTGAAGAGAGTATTTTCTATTTAGTAGAGCCCGCCAAAAAGAGGCAGCGTCAACCGAGAAAGCAAAACTGCGATTCTTCTCTCTCTATTCCTTCATCCTTGAATTGAAAATGAGTACCATGAAATTTTGTCGCCGATGGTTTGTTTCATTTCATTTGTGATTGTTTCTATTTTATGGAAATGAATATATATGACATTGATGAATGCTTCTTCTTTTCCCGCGCAGCAACAACGTTCTGTATCCTAAGGAGGACAAGGAGCAAAAGCTTCTTCTCTACGCTTGCCGCAACTGCAATCACGAGGTCCTTCCCTCTTCTCTCTTCCTTCCATTTCTTATTTCTTGCTCAATCTCTCGTTCTGCGTTCATGTTGCTAATTGTTAAAAAATAACCTAATAGGCTTCCTAGTGAATCATGATAGTTGCATTTATGTTGGTAGCGGCTTCTTCTTTAAGCTATTTTGAGTGATTGACTAAACCTAGACATTAATGCTCTCGTGTAATTCACATCACCATTCTGCCTATTAAATGTTGCCACGATGGATTTGCTTTGGAATGAAATTATTAACGTGTCGTTGCTTTTGAAAATGGTCTCAAATTTTAGGAGTCTCTGATGCCTTGATTTATTTATGAATATGATCAATTGGAGATTGAAATTTGGAATAGCTATGATATGCATTTTGTGATTTTTAACAGGAATGACACTTATCTACTTCATATTTCTACTAGGTCATAAGGAAAACTTCCCCTACCGATTTAATGCATGAGTGGTCTTTGTTATGCTGTCACTCACAATTAACTATGTTTGCAGAGGCATCTGACTCCTATACGATGTTGTTGATTTTTTTTTATTTTTTTTCCCGGTCCCATGTCATGCATCTTCATAGTCAATCATTGTGTTTCCACTTCATGTCAAAAGCAAATTGAACATTGACTAGCATTGTACATTTTATTGTTTTTGGTATAACAAATTGTCACCCTTATTTTTCTTACGAAAAAACTATTGTAAGGAAGGGACCACATCCAGTTTTGATGTTTTTTGTTAGTTTTGGATATGCCTGTTTGATATGCTATTCATTGTTGACCAGGAGATTGCAGATAATAACATTGTCTATAGAAATAAGATACATCATTCTGTTCAACGGCGCACTCGTGAGCTGGAAAATGTTGCTGCAGATCCAACACTTCCCCGCACCAAGTCTGTTCGCTGCTCTCAATGCAATCATGGAGAAGCTGTCTTTTTCCAGGTTAAGTCCTACTCACTGTCGCTGAGAAGAACTATTTTCATGCTTATGAGTAGAATGTTAATTGCACATTTAATGGATACCTGCCTTCTTGTTTGTGGAAACATGGAGAGGGGAAGTCATTAGGATTTTCACTGTGCACATTTCCAATGGCCATTGTGTATCCTGACAATGATGTCTCTTCCTCCTTGGTCGTTCCGGCCAGTTCTTTAGGTTATACATCGTTCCAAGTTCCAACCATCTGTGCTTAAGTTTTTTTTTTTTTTTTGTGTGGCCATCTTGTGTGTCGGCTCTCCTCAACATCCTTGAGTTGCCTTTCTTGCTATGTTTTAAGGGGCTGATTTTTTTAGGATCTTTTTAGCATATCTATTTGAAACAAGCTTAGTGTGTTTTTGGATTATCTTGTATCAAATCAAAATTACATGAAAATCTTACCAAGAGAGCTTTTGTTCAAAGGCAATATTATCCTAAAAATAATAAAGTCCAAAACATGTATTTAAAGCTCAATAAACTTTAGCTTAAGAAAGGGTGTTAGAATATCTCGAGTATTTTAGAATAGCTAAGCATATATTTAAAATATATTTAAACCATGTTGAATTAATTATTCACCTGATTGAGGAAGCATTCTTAGGACTTGTTTCTTAATTTGATTTTGTTTCCCTTTTTAATTACGGTTGATAGTCTTATTCCATGTTTTTCGTATGCATATGATTGCAAGGAGTATCTCTGGTCGTTTACCGTGACTACTGATTGTTGCAGTGATGAACTATTTTCATGCTTATGAATATAATGTTTATTTCACATTTAATGGATACCTATCTTAGGGGTGGACAACGGGCGGGTTCGGGTGAAAAATGTTTAATTCATTATAAATCGACTTTGGAAAAATGTGATCTATATCTAATCGATTGAACTTTCGATTTGAGATGGTTTGAGTTGAAATGGATTCAAATTTGAGTGGGTGGGTACAGTCGGGTTGAGCTTAAAATGGTAAAAAAATATTTTTAAAATAGTGTACAAAAATAGAATGAAGGTGACAATAGATGGTCTAAGTAGATTTGTAGATGAAACATTCACAAACTAAAGAAACAAAAACAAAAGATAACAAAATTCATAGTTGTTACATGCAAAAAAAATCTAAAGTTATATTACAAAACCTATAAGAAACCACAACCGCACAAGTTGTACTAAAAATGGAGACAGGAAGATGGAAAAGAAAAAATGGACTAGTGTGTTGAGAAGTTGAATGAGGAAAGAAAAGACAAAAGAAGCATCTAAATTATGAGAAAAAAGAAAAAAATAAGTTACAAATTGATGGTTATATTATACTTGAAATAAAGACTTTTGAGTTTGGGTCATTATTGTTTAGTTATACAAAAGTAATAAAAATATAAACTTATCTCATTTTCAGTTAAGTTCAGTTTTTAGCGGAATTAAAAATTCAAAACCGAACCCGTCTAATATAACCCGTATAAAATCAAAATTTTAACCTGATATACTCATAATACGCGCTCGAATCCACCCAAAAATAATATTTTTTATTGAGTTTTTTGGATTCGGTTCGGATCTCGGTGTCATGGTCATCCCTGCCTGCCCTCTTGTTTGTGCATAATTCCAAGGGTCATTTTGCAACCTGACAGTGATGTCTCTTCTCTGTTGGTCATGCAACTTTCCGGCCAGCTCTTAAGCCTGTACATCGTTCCAAATTCCAACTATGTTTGCTAATTTTTTTTATTTTTATTTTTTAGTGGTCATCTTGCGTGCTATCTTTGGTCAACATCCCTGAGTTGTCTTTCTTGCTGTGATTTAAGGAGCTTATATTACTTTTAGTATTTTTTTCTAACAGATATATTTGTAACATCTAACAAGCAGTGTGTTTTTTGGATTGGCTTGTTTTGCGCAAATCAACTTCTATGCAAAATCTTACCAAGAGAGCTTTTATTCTGAAAAATAATAAACCCAAAATGTGTTTAAAGCTCAATAAACTTTATATTACCAAAAAGAAAAAAAAAAAGGCTCAATAAACTTGGAGAAATTTTGCTTATGCCCCCAAGGAGGTTCCTTCTCCTGCTGATATGTAAATGAATATAAAGGCCAAGTATCAAAGACCTTAGACGGCGAGGACTGGGGGATCAGTTTTGTTTTGTGAATATAGCTGAAAAGAAAGTCTTGTTATGTTAGTGAAGAGTAATATAATATATGGTAGTGTTATAAGAAGAAACTGAGTTTTCAATTTCAAAACTTTTGCATGAAAGATTTATGATATATTTTGGGGTTTATAGGTTAAGAATAGTTCCTACCGTGCTGATAGGTTTGTGTACACATAAAAAATATCCATAGACAATTTTAAATGAAGCTAAATTGTTCATTTTTTTAAAGAAGAAAATTCTTCTCAAACAAAGGACAATTATCCTTCTCTTATACAGAAATCATTTTTTCATCCACGAGTGCTCAAAAGTAGCTCTTAGAGCGTAACCATCATTTATCCATAAACACTAAATACTTGCATTATTGTTAGTTAAGATAATATTAATGGTATTAATAAGACACGTTATCTGACTTTCACATAATCAAGAAAACTTTCAATATAATGAATCTTATACTTGGATTTAGCGTCTCTTATTGTTCGATACTTACTTGAACATGGTCGAACCAACTCTAATACGACTTTGTTAGAATTTTTTTTTTTGGAAAGGAGACTAAAAATCCGAAAAAATTGTTTTACTCTTCTTACACCTTTTATGAATTGTTCCTCTAATTATAGTAACCCTTAACCATTAAATCACACTAAATTGACATAAAAATAATAACCTCTCAATTATTTAGTTATTACAAAATAATAATAATGTCCATAATACATATTAACTCACATTAACAACTCTTTATTTTCTAATTAATATTATTTCTAACAAAACCATGTTTTAGCTAATCGGGGGTGTTCTGAAATTTCTGGATGTGTGTAGGCACCGGTCAAAGGGGAAGAAGGCATGGCCCTCATTTTTGTTTGCTGCAACCCCTCTTGTGGCAACCGTTGGAGAGACTAGGATTCTTCTTACCTTGCTCAAGCCAAGGTTCAACACGGGAATTCAGCATATCAAATTATTTTCTCTTGATAGGAGAAACTTTATTTGTTATATTAAACTTGCCAAATGTTACGACGTTCACAACTGAACTAAGTATTTCATACCTTGCTCAAGCCAAGGTTCACCATAGGGGAATTCGGCATATCAAATTCTCCACTCTTGGATAGAAGAAACTTTTATTTGTTATATAACAGCTAATGTGAGGACGTTTATAGTTATTTGTGCTCCCTGTTTAAACTCCCTAATCAATTATTGTTGACGTAGTTAATGGCCTAATCCTTTAATTATTTTCACATGGAAGGATTTAAATGAATTAGCATTAAACAATAATATTAAAGATGACTTTTTGTCATTTGTCATTAGCATCACTTATGAAACCAATAGTAATTTTTCACTTGGTCGATTGCAACACAACCATATAGTTTATATAGACGTATTTTTTTAGTCGATAGGAAACGGTAGAATATGGGAAGGCATTTTCAATCCTGGGTGTTCGACATGTTAGGGTTGTTAGTAAAGACTTCAAAGATTATTGGATAGGTCCAAAGGTTTGTTCCATTTAGGACTGTTAGTAAAGACCTAAAAGATCATTATACAGTCCAAACTATGAACAGTTCCATTATGTTGAAGCTACTCCAACTACCTTCTAGGCATCGGGAAATTTTCTTGCGGGAGTTGTTCGCTAAGTGAGAAAATGACATTAAGGTAATAAGGAAATTAGAGGAAATCAACACCAAAAATGAGATAGACATTTTTAAAGGGGAGGCATAATTAAAAACCTCATTATTTTATTGGAGATATTAGAGATATACATGAGTAGATGGTACATGATATTTATTATAGAAGATTGTATCCTTGTGATGCACAAGAGATTAATTAGTACCAAGACTTGGATGAGTCAAAGCCACCAAAGATGATGGATCCATTACCATTACCCTTGGTATAACCAGTATTGTTTATAAGACCTCTCATGTTTTGTGTGCCTGTGTTGTTAAAGGAGGCTCTAGGAGGCTCCTCACTGTAACTGTGGCGAGGAGCAACAACAGGGTTGGGAAAGTGTCGGGGTCGTGTCTCCACACGATCTTCATTATCATCAAGGAGACAAAGCAACTGCAGAAAAGAACCTGCCATTAACTGTCACCTAGTGAACCCAGTTAATATTGTTTCTGTGGCTTAGCTAAGTAGATATCATTTATTATGCTTTTATAAACAGGGTGAGGAATATTCGGGTTGTGGCTTGCCCAAAAAGCAAATATTAATTTATGTTTCATATCTAAAGAACATGATGTGTTCTCTCCTAGATCAATGTGGTATGTGATTCCATAACTGAAATTTTATCAAAAAGGAAAATAAAAAACAATTTATGGTTTTATAAAGCAAAGATTACCAAGAATTCGCTAGGGCAGATTTAAAAAAAAAATCATAATTAAAATTATGGCATATACTTAATCAATGAAATATTATAATTTTATGTCTTTTATAATTATCTCAACACCTTTTAATTCAACAGTGAAACTTTTGAGTAATTTGTAAGGTTTTAAGTTTAAATCTCATTCTTATCATGTACAAAAATAATCCCAGTACTTAATTTGGACGGTAGGATTCTCTATGTTTGATAATAGAAGATTCTCATGTGAAAATCCTCCAAATATTTATAACACAATATTAGCTGCAACTATAAAACTATTTATGAAAATCAAATAGGGAAATGAAGACAAATCCAATGAAGAGATTTAATTAATAAATAGAAGAAACTGATAAATTACGCGCAGAATATATAATATATGAAATAATCAAACACATGCTGTGAAATATAAAATAAGAAAAATGATAGAGTAGAATTTAAGTCCATATACTAATGAACCAAACCAAATCTTCTAGAGTGAAGGATGCAGTTTAAAAAATAAAGTGTAATAATAATTATTAATTAAAAAATTAATGATAGAAAATTATGATAAAATCAAATACATGTATAATAAAATTTAGAATTAATTATAATATTTATTATTAATTTTTTAATCAATGATTATAATTGCATAAATGAAATCTCCTTATTTTAGAGAATTCAAATCCTTTAATATTAAGTACAAATTTTAGTTTTATAAAGCTTAATTATTAACTTTCTTTTTCTGCAAAATCAAGTAAGAAGGTTAAGTTTCAAATTGAAATAAAAAGGCACAAAAACTTAAATTATCCAAATTTACCAACCGCATACATATAACAAAGAGTGTTTACAAGTTCGGCTTGATTTCAATGTGATTTGGTCAAAAGATACAAACTTTTACCCTCACCAAATTAGTTGAGACTTTTTACATATAAAGTCGAGCATGCACTTTTAATAGCATACACATTCTCCACTTTGTTTTTCAATATTTCCAATCATATTTTTTGGAACCATGTTCTCAAGACTTTTAAAGGGTCAGTATTTAAAATTCCTATAGATCTTTTTATATATGAAATTCTTATAAATAATTTAAAAGTTTATCTGGTTCATAATGCATTTTTTCATCAGTATATATATATATATTTTATAGATCTCAAAATGAAAATTCTTAATCTAGAGATTAAGGATATAATTTTTTTAAAAATTTAAAAATTATTTGATCTTGTATTTTATTAATTCAATCAACATATAAAAATATTTTATAATTATCCGTCAATTTAAATTAAAAAAATAAAATATTAAATAATTTTTAAATTTTTTTAAAATTTACAAACTTAATATAATACATTAAAAAAATTTAATTTAACAATTAGATCATTAAAATCTTATATAGAATATAAGTTATCGAGTAAAATAAGTTTAAATAAATATGTAGGGACCAGTCGGGTCATTCCATTAAACATCAAAATATTTAAATTAAATTATATATGTGTATTATATATATATATATATATATATATATATATATATATATAAAGGATGAATCAATCTTATATAAGATAACATTAATATTTATCCTATACTAATATTTAATGATAATAAATTAATAATACTTGATTATATGAAAAATGTAAAAATCATCTAATAATTTATTAGGTGTTAGAAACAAAGCTGCATTTAATATGTTAAACCAACTAATTAGTTTGTAGTGAAAGCGACATGCGTGATTTCGTTTAGTCGGAAAAGAGATTTGGAATATATATAATTTGCCATCATCAACCCATGACTGTTACGTAATTCAGGAGAGTAAGCAAAAAGTGAGAGGAAAAAAAATCGTGAAAAGACAAATGGAACATGATTCATGATTGTTAACATTCAAGAAGAGAGTTGAGGATTCGAAATTCCTTTCCCTTGGAAAAACTTGTTACACATTATTTTCTTAGCACTTTATTCTGTACATTTTCCCAATTCCCCACTAAACAGATATTCCCCCGGATAATACATCCCAAGCAAACTAATTGGATGAAAATATTGGTCACGCCAACACCCTTGTGTTGACGTGGAATGGGTTGCACTTGCATATATTGTTATCATGTTAAAATTTTATATCTATGACTATTTCACTTCATAAATACTCACAAACTTTTGTAAATATTTTACCTTATAAAAAACAGATATTGTGGACTAATGATTCACACACAAAGTTGAATTCTAGTTTTGTTTTTTATCTGATCTTGTTTTTGTCGAACAGATAAAATAATAGTTTTAAAAAATAAAGTAATTATAACCCTAAAATATAATTATCTATACTACAAAAATAAAATTATAAAAATGACTTTGTACAGTCGTTAAATGACACAAAAAGGTACACTACTGTTTAGTGGTTGAAAGATTTTCAATCGTTAAAAGGTAATCAATCACTAAATTATTAATAAATTTAACTTGAAAAATTTATTTATATACGCAATTATAGCTGTTAAATTTTTTGTTACCACGTCTTCATTCTACCAGTTAAATTATTACAAGTAGCTAAAAAAAGCTCATCGGTCGCAAATTAAGCTCGGTCACTAATATCGATCATTAGTTGTCACAATGTCACTTTTCTAGTAGAATATATAAGACATTGTAAAAATCCAATAGTAGTTGTTAATTATATATGCTAATCAGGCATGTTGATCAGCAACAATGTCATTTTTATTCTAAAACAGAAAAATCATTTATTTGTGTTTTAATCCTTATAGATCGACAACATATGTATGAAATGTAAAATGAGAATTAATTCCACCCACAACGATGTTATTAATCTTAATTCATATATAGGTACATATAGTATGATGGGTTTGGCGGGTAATAATAGTACATGAGATGAAAGTGTTATATAGTTATTTATTAAGTGGCCTCATGTTAAAGGATTTATGGTTGGCTGCGAGCAGAGGATGTGAGTGTCCCAAAGTTGATGGTTCCATTAGCATTGCCCTTGACGTATCCAGTTTGGTTCGTGAGACCCTTTATATTTTGCTTGCCAGAGTTTAAATAAGAGAACTCTTCTATTGGTGTAGGGGAACTGTTAGTGTTGGGAGTGGATTGGGCTTGGGCTTGGGCTTGGGCTTGGGTTGGTCGTCGTGGAGCATCACATGCTCCAACGGCAAGGAAGCTGATCCCACATGCAATACCTGCCATTGCTTCAGAAAGCACCAAAACTCTAACTACTTTGCTATGTTTTGGGAGGAATGAAATGGGACACTACCCTTTTATAGACTCACCGGAGATTATTATTATTGGGAGAAGAATATTAATTTAACCAAGGGAAGATGATAAGGTGTGAGGAATATTTTTGTTTTGGATGTGTAAAATTTCTTGATGACAACGGGAAGATACTAATTTTTGTATGTATAAAAGTTTGAGATAAATTTATTTTATCTCTTAAATTTTAAATTGATCATCTTAGTTTTATAATTAAAAAATTATTTTAATGATTTCTCAAAATCATAAGAACATCACCGATAATAATATATTGAGTCAACTTTGATACATACATTATATTTATGTTTAATATGATATTTTACATAAATAAAAATATTGGTAAGTAAATTTTATGTGATATGTATAGTTATAAGTGTGTTTTCTTTGATTGATTTTTTTATCGCATTTGAATAGATGAGTTAAAGTAAGTTTTTTTTTAAAATAAAAGGACTAAAAAAATTAATTTTTAAATTTAATGGATAAAAATAAATTTACTTTATATTTAAATAATTTAAAATATATTTAAACCAAATCCATTTTAAGAGATTGACTATGTTTTTTTTCGCACAAATTTAAAAATCAAATCTCTTAGTACATAATTAAGACTCGTAATTATCTCTCAATTTATCACAACATATTTATGTTGGGCAACTAGGAATATGAATGCACAAAAAGAAGTCTATGCAGGTTCTCATGAATTCTTTAAGATGCTCCAATCTAGTGAGGAGTTAGTCATAGAATACCTAATTAGATACGTGGACGAACAAAACATAAAGCAAGATTAATTAATATTACTCGTACATCTAAAGCCGTGTGGAATGTGGATCAGGGAATCAATGCAAAGGTGACAATTATATTCTTTTGCATATTTTGTTAGAATAGGATATTATTTTCGTTCGTCCCCCTAAAAAGGATAATTTATCATAAACTCATGCTTGGTTTACTATTCTTCTTCTGTTTTTGCAAAGAATTTGAATGCGAAAAAAAAAATGCACAGTAAATTTTTCTTGTAATTTTTTTCCTCTTTTCAAATCACTTATTCTCCTACCATAACCATATACCAATGTTTCTTGAGATCAGTTAAAATTTCATTCGTAGCACCTTCTATATATAAAAAATTATTATTATTATTACTATTATTATTATTAGGATGATAATAGATTCCATGAGAACAGGTAGTACTATATCTGTCTCAGTTTGTTCTAAATCCGTGTGGATTTCTATTAAATAGGTATATGTGAGTTTTATAAATACTTACGAATATTTATAAATATTTATAATTTTTTTAAAAAAATTACAAATTAATTTTAACTTATATATGCTTATTTTATAATATTTATAATTTTTTTAAAATATTACAAATTAACTTTAACTTGTATATGTTTATTTTATTAAAATATTAAAGATAAATAATTAATTTTAATTTTAATTTTATTGAAATATTAAAAATGTAAAAATAAATATATAAATATTTAACTAATTTTACTTAGCGAGTATCCTAACATATAGATACTACTATATACATGCTCTCATCCTATTTATTAACAGATAAAAAAATACTCATATTTATTATACAAATATTTATTTTAATTATCTATTTATTATCTACAAATATATGTGGACACCAGTTTTTTTTTCATCCTTGAGTATTATCATCCTTTTTATTTTAAGTTACTTCATTTTAGGAGCAGCTCAGGTTCTAAAGGTCCTGATTCACGCAAGTTTTTCCCCTTGTGTTTTGAAAAATCAACTTTCAAGTAAAATTAATATTTTAAACTTGAAACTTTTTTATTTGTGGTCCTCTATTTTTATTTTAATATTTATAAATTTATTAGTTTTAGTGTAAAAAAACTTAAATAATTCATAAAATAATAAAATAAATTCAAAAATAAATAATTAAAACTAAAATAGAAATAACTAAAAAACCAAAATATTAATTTTAGTCTTAGTGCTTTTATCTTTTAAAATGTTACGTAAACATTTCGATCGTATGAGCATATGGGCATCTGTTTTCTAGACTTTTTTTTTAAAAAAAAATTCTCAAAATAAGTAATAGCTAACCATGTGAATACATGATAATTAGAGACAATTCAATCATTTTAAATAAATAAAACAAAATGGACTACAAATTAGTAGAAGTGTAAAAGGTTTGAAAACTAGTGCTCAATTTTCTCTATCATGGTGACCAACAACTTTCTCTATCGTGTTTTCATGATATGCTAATTATTTTTGAAATAGAAATAGAAATAAAGAAAATGTTTCTCTTAATTGTAAATTTATTGAATGTGGATCTCTACTCAATGAACAACATTGTTAAATATAAATAACCCTTTTTATTAAGGGCAAGTTGGAAGTTACATTTACACCACTGTATCAGCTAAATACAAGACCGAAAATTAATTACAACATTGACTAGAAAACAACTTTGAAACACCATTTGATCGACCTTCAAACTTCACTTCTTCATCACTTGTCTCTCTAACACCAACTTGTACTTCACAAATTTAGCATAAAACAAGTCAATGTAAAGAGCAACCAACACCACAAACAAGAACAAGCCCAATGAACAACATAGCAGCAGCTTGTAAACCCCAACGCATTTCTTCATGTTCACAATAAGATCTTGTTGTTCTTCAATGAGTTGCTCCATATGTTCAAATGTTTTCTCATCCATGCATTGAAAATATCCACAATTCCATGCTTTCTGTGTCAATAACCCAATTCCAAACCAGTAACCAAAATCGAAAAGCACCTCAAACCCAATATATGAACTTGGTGATAGTTGTTTACAATACCCTATAGTTTGGACACCTAAAAAATTTGTGCCCAAATTTTCTTAATGCGTGCAGCCTCACCCTTCCTCCACAGGCGTAATAAGTCACCCTCCTTGACCTCTTATTCTTGCTTATTGCACTTCTTTCATCCATCATCGAAGAAAAATGGCTTGTATTCATGTTGATCTGCTGCAATCCTTCCATAACACCTCCAAGATCCTCAAATTGAAGAAGAAGATCAACTCTACGGTTACTGCACCAAACAGAAGGAGCCATCACCTGTTCTTATAATATTTTGAGGTGACATAATGGTAGAGATCATCAAACCATAATTAAATGTTGGACTAAAACGTGTAGTTTTAGGTATAGGGACCATATAACATTAAATTATAACACAAGTTTAGGGATCACATTAATAGTTTGGCAAAAAAGAAAATTATAAACAATTGTGCGATTTCAAATATGAAGACTATTAAATCCAAACTATACAGTTTAATCCATTTTTGGACGGCAATAGAGATATCCATATCCTTCAAAAACCATCTTGAGAATTATTGAACCAATTGAAAATCGGAGAAACACGCGAGAACCAAACCCGTTTCTTGTAAACTTTTTTCTCTTAAAATCTAAAATGTTGAAAGGTTATATATTTAGCAAGAAGAGACCTTAAGTAAGCATATATACTATCAAACTTAAATTTTTGAAAATTCAATATTGTACGTATAGTTATAGCAGCTAACCACTCATTGATATCAACAACAACTACGCAAAACTACTATTTATTTAATAATATACAAATTTACAGAAGAACAACATCTATAAAATTTTAATTAAACTTAGATATATGGTCCAATATTGAGAATTCCACCCGCACATCTTTTTCTTCCAATAATACTATGATGGCTTTGGCAGGTATACGAACCACATCGAAATGATAAATATAGGCAACAGCAGCAGAAGTTATTTAGTAGTTATTGAGTTTCCTGCAGCAATATATATATTGTTGCTTCATGCGTGTTATTGTAATGAAAGGGTTCATGCTTGCCTCGGAGCACCAGCAGAAGCAGTGAGAGTCCCAAAGTTAATGACCCCATTAGCGTTACCCTTCACGTATCCAGTTTGGTTTGTAAGACCCTTGATATCTTGCTTCCCACAATTTGAATAATGAGCCAACTCTTCAGATGATGGTGCACAAGTATTGTTACTATTAGTGCTAGTGCTAGTGTTAGTGTTAGAGTTGGGAGTGCATTCGACTTGTCTTGATCGTCGTCGAGCATCACATGAGCCAACGGCAAGGGTGCAGATTCCAGATGCAATACCTGCCATTGAATGCTAACTCTCTTAATGATATAAAAAAAGAAAACGAACACTCTAGGTAGTGATCGAAGTTTCGGCAATTAGGCTTATAAGATATATACTAGTATAGCTTTGGCGTGCTTTGGTATGAATTAATTGGCCACCCTTTTATAGACTCCGGGGGGAGGGAAGAATATATTTTAATGAGTGTGAATGCAAGTTGAAAAGTGAGAGGAATATATGAATCAATATATGGTGGTGCTCACTTTAATTTAGTTATTTGTTGTTGTGCTTGTCCACATTGTTTAAGGTGCTCCAATATCTAGTGTTGGAATATATATTCAAAACATTATACTGTTTGATATATATATATATATATATATATACACGGATAAAGAAAGAAAGCAAGATTATTTATTCACACGTCTCATAAAGCTGTACTTGGATATTAGGGAATCAATGCAAAGGTATGTATTCCCATGTCTATGTCTATATTTGATGAACCCGCGTCTGGTTATCTATTCCCCTTTGTTTCGGAAAATATCATAAAATGATGCGTTTTATTATTATTATTTGGACAAAAGGTATTTTTTTAAATACTCTCACATTTTCATCAAACACGCAAACATCATCTAACATTTTTCTCTATCTCTCTTCTTGTCAAATTACATCACTATTAATCGCATATATATTTTCTCACATCTTATTTCTCTCAGTGTTTACATTAATGAGTGTCTAAGAGTCTTCCTTAGTTTATTTAATTGAATAAAGTGACGAGTATCATAAACCTTTTGATATTAAATTTGATTCTCATTAAACGAAAAATATATAAACTATCAATTACTGTAAAAAATTTACACACTTAATTATTGTAGATATATTTTACATGTATAATTAATGGCGGCAAAAACAAAACTTATATCTTATATATTATTATTCTAATTCACTATTACTCGATTAATTTTAGTAGTTTTAAACTTTTCTTATTTTCATTTAGAAATGTGAGGAATTAAGTTTTATTCTATATAATAAACATATGTGCATAGTAATACTTTATTCCAAATAAATATTTTTATTTTCTTCTAGTAAATATAGAAAACATTTCATCTATTAAGTATTATAACTCTCAACATTTAAATAAATGTTATGTTGTTTACTTCCTTTTTTAATATAAAGAAGTATAATTTTTTTCTACCAGATTGCCTCTCATAAGATTAAAGAGTATTTTCATTGTTATTTTATGTCTAAATTAAATATTAGACCAAAATCTTAATTATTAAAGAATATAAATACCAAGTCACTTGTACTTACTATTTTTATTATAGTATTTTTTTAAATTAAAGATCAGACCAAAATCTTATTAGTTAAAAAAAATTTGATTAATTTTTGTCAATAAACTTGATTTGATCACTTTTTAGTGGATCTTTTCTCCCAATCACAACATTTTTGCATTTACAAAATTCGAACTCCAGAATTTAATTAGTTAGAGACTTTACTTAATTATGTTTCGTGACAACACTTATAATCGATTGATATTTATTGTAGATAAAAAAAAATAGTAATGTTTATTGTGTTCCGCTTCTTATTAAGAGTGTCTTGTGTAATTGTGTTCATTATAGGGGGAGAAGAACTCCTTTACGCTAGTTTTGTTAGCGTTCTGTGGCTTATGTTACTGGCCAACTGTGGAATAATTTTTAAGTACCAAAAGTTTATACAGTGTTTTATTCCCCTTTTCATATATAATATAGGCGTGAGTCAAGTAGAATTTAATTTCCATAACTATAATTTTCAAGTTAAGTGAATATATATATATATATATATATATATATATATATATTTATTTATTTATTTATTTATTTTTGTAATCGTAAAAGTTTTGGATAAAAAGAAAGATTCTTGTTGGTGATTGGCCGTAAAGATGTAACAACGTACAACAATCTTAAATATGCATCCATTTAATTTACTGAACTCGTCATGCCAGAGTCTATTAATAATTTACAAAACAATATGTTATTGCTTCTGTTAATTAAAGAAGATGACATGTGTATATATATACATTATAGAACAGCTAAAATATTGGAGCTAGTGGCAAACTGCGAAGCTCTTATTTTAATTATACCATCACATTATTATTTATGCATTTCAAGAACTGGTAACATCTTCGTACATGTATGGCGTGCCTTATTCCATTTGAGTGACTTAGAACTAGGCATTTAAACTTCCAAAGTTGATGGCTCCGTTAGCGTTGCCTTCGGTGAAGCCTGTTTGGTTACTGAGACCCTTAATCTTCTGATTCCCGGAGTTGTTATATTTTCCAATAAAGCGATTCCTTCCAGGCACAGGAGGAGCAGGATCATGGGGATTATTGTGACTTTCACCTTCATCCATGCTATTTACCACACCAACGAGAAACTGTAGAGTTTCCAGATTTTGTTGAAGGTTTGACATCGATACTGTGCCAAAAAAATTGAATATGATCTGTCTTGAGATTGATTTATTTGTGAGCAAATCATGAGTGCTCATTTTATATATAGATGCTGAGGAGTGAGGAGGGACAATTGTTCTGAAACTTGATGGAGAAGTGTGCACCATTTGAGTGGAATAATCTCTCAAATTAAAGTTATTCTTGGTGGAGTATAAAGTTCCATTTGATGTTTAATTTTAACAAAAAGATAGCTACACGAAAGCATCTTCATCTTGAAATAACATACACGGTTTAAACTATTTTGCATTTCTTATTTATTTGGCTAGATTAGATTGGAAGCATATATTCACACGTAATATGCTTGCTGGCTGCACCAACTCGTCTGGGGACTCTTGTAATTAATTATGGGAACAACATGCAACTGGTGAAATGAACATTTTAATTTGTCTGTGGGAAAATTTTCATGTTGATACTATATATACTAGAATCAATTAGACCGATTTATAGCCTAACAAATAACACAACATTATGAAGGAACAAAAGAAGGTAAGGGCTGATGAAGCTGTCTTCTTCGTTGGTATATTTAGGAAGTAACCAACAAAAGTCCGCGCGAAATAAATATTAAAAAAAAAGGAAAATGTGGCTGCTGGGATTCGAGCCCAGGTCTCCACGGCCACAACGTGGAATTCTTACCACTAAACTACAGCCACTTAGTTGATGGGTTATTTCAAAGATATTATATATACTTAACTTAATAAGTAAATATTGTTGCCACTTATTAATCTAGTACAAACAATTGAAGCTTTTACTAAATTAATATTTACAGATTCTGTCAGTTATTCATTTTCAGGGGAATTTTTTTTTTTATTAATGTGCAATAGCTTTTAATCTTTTATAAACATGTTGTGTAGCTACTATAAATTCTTGAGAACAAAAATTCATTTATCCTTAAATTAAACGCATAGAAACATATCTATACTTAAAAAAAATTATTGCAATATTTTAATGAGCGACGATTCTGTCTCCAAGGTATAATTTAACATTAATTATAAGCATCTCATAAATTCAAGGTGTGGTTGTCTTTTTATCTACACTAAAAGCTTAATAGTTTGTTGTTATAATACTTTAAATTTAATTAATAGTAAATATTCACACACTGACTCAATTACGTGTTAAGAGAATACCTATGATATCATAAACAAATAGAATTCCATGATCTTTATATAGAAAGGGAAAGCTTGATAAGGGAAACTGATAAAAGCCCAATAATGGTTCAGCATACAGGGCTCAAACGAAGCATCCACAAGCCCACTAAACTCAATGAATATATTTGATGTTATCGTTAAGACTCTTTTGATCAAATCTATCCTGATGCAATTGCAGGGAATAGATTATGTAATTTGAGTTTGGCTTACGGTTCCATTCAAATGAACCCACATTTAACCCAATTCATCACTCACACAGGTTTCATTTATGCATCAAAACTTCCATTCAACGCTATTTAATGGATTTCCAAACACACACACCGTTATAGGACAGTCATAGTGATTCCTTTATATTTTCCTTGTAATCCCTGTCTTTTGAATTCAAAGAAAAAATGAGCAGTTCATAGCCTGTAATCCTTAGCTTCCTCTCTAACAGAAACGTACTTGGAAAGTATTATCATCAAGAATGGTGAATTTTGAGTATTATAATTTTTTGAAAATTGTTAAAACTTGTTTGATTTACCGTACACTTTATGAGGAGAGTTTCAATTACTCCAAAAGTAGTAGATTTATTTTATTTAATAATTCATGTTTTACATCAAATATTATCAATTTTTTTCTTAAATTAAAAGTTATTAATGCATAGATTAAATCTGTAAATTTTTAAAAACTTTAAAAATTATTTAATATTTTATTTTATTAATTCAAATGATAAATAATTATAAAAATATTTTATATGTTGATTTAAATTTATATAACGAAATATCAAATAATTTTTATATTTTTTAAAAATTACAAACTTGATTTATGTATTAAGAATTTTTAAAATAATATTTGAATCATTAAAATTTAATATAGAACATATGTTATTGAATAAAATAAATCCAAATAAACTTATTCTTGAAATAAATATATTCTTCCCCCAAACTTTATAAGGAATGTTATACATGTTTCTAATTGGAAGCTAAAGATTCTTATGTTTCATTTAATTAATTACATTTTTAAAATAATTTTTTCTTCTCTTAGAAATGATTTTTTTTTAGTGAAATAACTTTAATAAAGACATTACTTTAAATATATTATTTAAAATAATTTTTACTATTGAAATAAGAAAAAAATATTATTTTTACTTGACAATATTCTTTCCTTGTTTTTACATATTCTCATATGCAATAAAAAGAAAATCAATTTTTCATAGTTCTCACATTGATAAAATAGGAAATAAATCCAAAAGTGTTCTCATTGACAACATGTAAAAAGTCGATCCAAAAAAATTATTACTGAATAATTTTTAAGAAAATATTTAATTTAATAAGTTAGTAGTTATATTATTTTGTAAAAAAATAAAAATTTATGTAAATTTCATTTTCGTTTCTTACGTAAATTGTTTAGTATTTTACATATGTAAATTATTTAAATTTTATTATTATGATCATTTCTTTTCTAAATGATTTATATTAAATAGTATGTAAAATATTACAGAAAATAACTATTATAAATGATTTATTATAACATTTTCTTATAATAAAATCAGATAATTTAAGTATTAATTTAAACAATGTATAAATTTAAATAAGTTTTGTTGTAAAAAGTTTCATTAGTTTTAAAATTATAAAAATATGTTTATGTGATTACTAGTATTTTTTTTAATTAATTTTAACATAGAATTTTTCATTCTCTTTAGATTTTCTTACGACTTTTACTAAAATATTTCTTCAAAAAAAATAATACCCTTAAACGATTTCTTAGTTTAGTTCTTTGATAAATTTAAAAATAAAAAAAAACATATATTTAGAAATATAATCTTTATTATATTAAAAAATAAACTTTATGCTTTATAAAATTACAAAAAAAATATTAGTATTTTTATTTGTATATTTAATTATTTATTATATATAGCAATGAAATATTTCAAAACTTTATATATAAATGTATAGAGTGAACTAATAAAGAAATTGTAATATTTTTCTATTTTTGTTTTGGGAATTAATGTTTGATGTTAATATTCTGTTTATTTTTTAAATTGCATACCAATTACTAGTATTCTTAAGTTTAGGAGTAAAATAGAAAATTGTGGCTGCTGGGATTCGAGCCCAGGTCTCCACGGCCACAACGTGGAATTCTTACCACTAAACTACAGCCACTTGATTGGCAATGATGTTCAATAAATAATATATAATTATAATATGATAAAAAAAAATTATTTATATTTTTTTCTTACTTATTCTTTATTTCCATTAATATACAATAAATTTTATAGACAAGTTGTGCAGGTCTTAGGAATACTTTTTTTTAATTTTATTTTATATATGAATACGAAAAATTTATAAATACGGTTATAATAAAATTCAAATCTAGGTTTTTTTTTCTGTTAGTACTGACTAACCTTAATAAATAATATATAATAATATAAGATTGATCTAATATAATTAAATCTTTTAATAATCAAATCTAGGTTTAAGGTTTACGTATTCATTCATTTCCATTAATATACTGTAGATAATTTGTGCAGGTCTTAGGAATGCTTTTATTTTATTTTATTTTATATGTGAACATGAAAGATTGTGAATATGATCCATCAAATTTAGGTTAATTTTTTCCTTTTACTACTAGACTAACCTTTATAATTTTAGATCCTATAAATACTTGAATTCAAAGATGAAATTGTTTAACTTCTTGATTAAATGGTCCACAAATCGTTGTTTGTTTTTTTTTTTTTTATCATGTTGTTGAAGATAATTTTGTAGATTTTCTGATAGGCATTCTCTACTGGAAGAGATCCTGTGCGATGAAATCTGTGTTTAAGAGTTGAGACATTTAACTCGCAAGTCGCAAGACTTTTAATACTAAGTGTAAGTTATTTGTTTTGTGCTTTATTAGTTTATTTATTATATTATAAAATTTAATTAATCACTAACAATGAACAGCCCACAAAGAAAAAAAAATGTTTAACTATTTCAATTTTTTAATTAATTCTTTTTACATTTTTATTTTTTTAATTCTTTGTATAGGCCTAAACAAAGCAGACTCGAACGAAGTAAATAGATACCTTTTTCATCGCAAGACACCCCAATCCGATCGTTAATTTACAGGCAAGCCTAAGTTACATTTCACACACGTTGTTGATCTACACAATGTACACATTACAAATACGAAGAGGGCTGGCAAAAACACTTCTCTTAACACATTAGAATTTATTAAAAATAACAAAATTAAGAAGAAGATACAATTTAAAATTTTAAGAGAAAAACATTAAATAAAATGTCAAACTTTTTTTAATAATTTACAATCAATTGAAAAAATGTTCCTAACAAATATTTCTTTCTACTAGAGTACGTGGATTTAGGCTACTAAGCGAAAAGGCCATTAAACTTGTCATTTGCTCTCTCTCCTAGGGTGTGATCGGAGGAAACTCTATTACAATGTGTATGATAAAGAAAAAATAAATAAGTGAGAAATAGGTAAAAAAAATATAAAGTAAAAACTTTATTATTTGATTGAAAAGAATTAGATGAGAAATAATATTATATATATGTTTAGTAAGATAAAAAAAAAGGTGAAAAATAAAATATAAAAAAGAAGGCAGAAATAAATAAATAAAGTTAAAAAAATTAATTTTTATTTTAATCATTTAAATAAAAATTACATAACTAAAAATAATATTTTAAAATAAAATAAATAACTAATTAAAAGTAAATAAATAATTTTAAAATAATACTTTTTAGATTAAAAATTAATCAAAATAACAAATTTAAATTAAATTAATAAAATAAACATTTAAAATAAATAAATAAAATTTCAAACCTTCAAATAAACAAAATCTTATTCGAATGAAATTTGAAAACGTATTCGAATAAATAACTTATTTATTCGATTAAATAAACTTTTACTTGATTAAATAAACTTTCACGTTTTCTTTTGAAAACGTATTCGAATAAAACATTTATTTATTTGATTAAATAAATTATCGTGTGAATATTAGTAAAGTATTATTTAAATGCGAGTCGCAGTTTATTTAAATACAAATGAAATTAAAACGTACTTTTTTAATATGAAAAATGTTTTATTCGAATAAGAAGATGTTTCAAGTATGTATTATTCATTTCTACAATATTTGTGAAGAAATAAAAATAAAATAAAATTTTGCGAAGAAATAAAAAAATAAAATTGCTGATAAATTTCGTTTGTATCAAACAACTCGTAATTTTTATTTTATCAATTTTTCACCTCTGCACCATTATTATTATTATTATTATTATTATTATTATTATTATTATTTTTATGTTTCTGCTGTTCTAAACGCCACGAGGCGTTAGAGAATGCATGCATGCCGTGCGCTGGGCTTGGAATCAAACTAGCCCATCAAACACATGCTTCGTAGAGTTTCTAACTGATCAAGTTCTTACAATGCTGAAACTAGTATCCTGTGACAATAGTGTCTGTTGTTTTTATTCATTCGTACATAAATAAATAAAAATATAAAAAAAATAAAAACTATTGTAACAACCACATATATAATATACAGTCTTTTGTCTGATTAAAAAAAATTCTGACAATGCTAATAATTTTTTAAGAAATGCGTTAAATTACTCGTTACCTCGTTATACAGTTGAAAAAATTATTGAGAGGATTTATCCATGCTCTCAACTTATTATTTTTCACTTTTAAATCGATAGAAAAGTCTCCTAATACAAACTGATGAAATCAAGATGAGCAAATGATGCAAAAGTAATAATTTTCTGCCCCCATCCTTAAAATTAGCTTGGTCTTTTGTTTAATAATCGTTTTCCAACTTCAGAATTCATAAAGCTAAGTTTTTTTTTCTTCTGAAATGTAAAGGACTAGTATAGAATTGAACAGAATAAAGAATTTCCAAACTCGATCATCTCATAACTACCTGTGTATTTGATTCCGCGTCAACAGCATCTGAATCGCGTAAAAAACGTACAGCATCTGAATCGCGTAAAAAACTTGAAAATCAGAAGCAAATATTACTTGCTTCTCATCAAAAAATTGACGTAATTCTGTTCGAAAACATAACTCAATACGCGAATTCAAATCCAAACACACGCATGCTTGAGATTTTGAGTAGCATTTCTTTAACAAACATTCCTTAACTGTTTCCTCAGTTCTAGTTTACTCTATTTCTCTACGAAATAAACATATGCAGTGTTTTCCTAGGCTTTGATTATTTTATTTATATACATGGTCATACATTGAAGGCCTCTTGAAGAAAATCAAACATTTCCACGGCTCATGTTCCAGAACTCAACTTCGTTCTCAAGAACACTAAGGAACGTAACTTCAGCCTTTTTGAGTTCTTCATCAGAAGCCTTTTGTAAGCGCCGATTGGCAATCTTTTGCAGAGATTGGCAATAGTTACCAAAAGCCTCATTGCCCCATCTTGCACAAGTCTCCTTCAGTTCTGGTGGGGTTTTGGAGCCTTCTTCAATGCAGTGGGCAAAGCTCTCTTGATACACTGCTTCAATAGCCCAAAATGCTGTAATAGCCACAGTATACTCCACCTCTGGACTCATTAAACTTTCCAGCAACCTGTCACAGTACGCATATGTTACAATACAGACAACCTTGCAGACAAAAGTAGCACTTGTATAATTTGGCTAAAATTCCAAAAACCCATGTGTATAACGTGTTTCTGTTACCTTTCCCTGGCTTCTTAGTAAATGATATCATGACTGCATAGCTGTTGTGTCATGTCTGAGGAATAAGAATTCCAGGTTTTTTTTTTCATTATATTAGAGGACCTACGATAGGAAAGGATCTATAAAAACTTAACTGGGACCACTAGTCCATTGCTAATTAATCTTTCCTATAAAATAAATCAATGAGCAATAAATATCCGATTCTGTTACTAAAACAAATTACTCAAACCAATTTAATCTCTCACAAAACAAAGTCAAATAATTCTTGAAAACAAATTCTTAATTTTTCAAAGATTAATAGTGTGTTTGAATGAGGAATTTTATAAATTCAAAGAATTTTAAATTCTTGGTATTTGAATTATTTTGATTTTTGTTTGGATAAGTCAATTTAAAATTCTTGATATTTGAATTATTTTGATTTCAATTTCTATCATTCTCAAAATATTTTGTTTGGATAAATTAATTCAAATTTATCAAATTTTAAATTGTTAGGTTGAATATAATAATTTAATTCTATCATAGTAAAATTATATGTTGAGATTTTTAAATTAAATTTTATAAAATAAATATTAACTAATTTTTAAATATTTAATAATTTAAAAAAAATTAATATTAGATAATATTTAACAACTTTAAAAATATTTTTAAATATTCAATAATTAAAACATGAAGAGATAAAAGATAAAATAAAATATATAAGTAAAATAAAAAGAAAAAAATTATGAGAAATTTTAAATTATATTTTGTTTTTTTTTTAGAAAAATTTAAAATTCTATTATTTTAAAGAATTTTAAAAATGCATGAATTTCAAATTCTTTATAAATTCTCCATTCAAACAAAATATTTCACCTCAAAAAATTTGAAATTCTTCAAATAAATAAATTACTCCATTTAAATTCTCCATCCAAATATCTAAATACACTAAATACACTAAGAAATTTTTTAGTTACATAGGAACACCATGGACTAACAAAATTTTTCCCCCTACTATAACAACCGGATACACATGTCTCAAACTGAATATCACTTGTTAAACCGAATCAATTTCATAGTAATTGAATCCCACTTTCGGTGGTACTTTTTATCTTATTAATTAAGACCTAAATAAGTGAATCTTGTACTTACTAAATCCTATTTCGGCCACTAGTCCCAAATTAAAAACCCCACCTTCATATTGGCAAAATATACGAGTTGAATATGATGAGAGATGATTAATAAACCTACCCACAATACTTTACGTTGGCTCGCTGAGGAACAACGTCAGAAACTGAAACACCCCACTTGTTGGCTTCTCTCTTAAACCACGAGATCTCATCCTCCAGAGAAGCCATGCCCCCCAATATCACTTCCACGTCACCACTCTCATCTGATTCCTTCCAAGCTTTTATCAGCAAACTGGCTGCGAAAGGGACAAACGCTCGAACGAACAAGTAATCTTGTGCCTACAAAACAAGAACATATGAAAGGATCATAGTAACGGTTAAATTGCAGACATTTGTTAATGAAAGGGGAAAAAAGTGTTACTGACCAGCCATGTTTTGAAGCAATCAATGTTTATGGTGCCATCGCGGATGCTGAGAATAAGTGGGTGTCTAGTGGCTCCGTTGTAGAGAGAACGGTGCTTCCTCAACCAAACTTCGATCATACCCATCTTCTTCTCCTCAGCTTTTGCCTTTTCCTCCATTTTCTCGCTACTCTTTTGTTTCATGCTTTGTCTTATTAAGTACCAACTCACTTTTATAAGCTGAGAATAAAAAATAAATATTATATTTAAAATCAATTAACTAAAATTAAAGTTTAAATATATTTTAAATCCTTTAAATATTAGATAAATTTGGGTTTTCTCTTAAATTTAAAACTAATTTTTAATTATTATAATTTAAATAGATTTTAATTCTTCTGCTCAAAATATTATTTGTGAATTTTTGTTATGAAACTCAAATCGAATTTATTATACAATACAAAACTTATCTACTAATATTCTCATCCGTAAAATTACTTTAAACTCTATTGATGTTATATAGGTACTTTAATTTGTTATTGATAATTATACTGTTAGTTATTTTGAGTAATTAAAACAAAATTTTAAATATTAAAAATTAATTTATTCTAAATTTAAAAAACAAAATTATTTAAGCCTACAGTTAATTTCATTCGTAAAACTTAAAATTACTGCGTTCAATTTCGATAAAGATTAAAATGTAACGTTTTTAATGTTAACTATTGATGTGAACTCATTTTGAAGAAAAAAAATTGAATTGAAAATAGTTTATATAATAATAATAATAATAATAATAATAATAATAATAAATTGTGAATACTCGATAAACCACCGCTTACTAATTGTGGACTTTTAAAACTTAAAGGAGGTCAAGTTACAACTTTTGGTGGACTATACACGTGGGTTTGAAGGAACAAAGAAGCCCATGCACAGCTACATTTGGCAATCTTGTTGGGCTTTCAAGAACTAAAAACCTTACAAGTGTCGGCAGTCTCCAAAATGACCACAAAATACCAAAAAATAAATATAGATAACACGAGTTCAACTAGAGTCTAGATGTGTTAATTAGGTTACGTTACGCCATTTCGAACAGACTCGTGGCATTTCATTAACGTATGTGATACACAAAAATAAATCTTTATTATGTGACTAAATTTTATAATAGACAAACAAAATATTTATTTTAAATAAATTCTTACTCATTCACATATTTTATCATAATCATAATCACATACTTAATTGAGACCAATTTTTCTTATTTTATATATAATTTTTACACTTTATTTTAGATAAATAAATTATAATAACTACATGATTAAAGTAAAAATAAATTATACAATCTAAGTTATCGGTCAAGTGATTCCTATACAACATATTACACAAAAGTAACACCAAAAGCATCAACAACCTCTTCATTTTCTAGATAATCGCCTCAATTAAAACATCTCATATATATCTCTTTGTTTTGTTCTTATACCAAATATCATCATCACAGTCCAAATTACATGAAAAACATGCAATGATAAGGTAGAGTTTAAAGAGACAACATATGAACAACATAAAACATAAAAAAACATTAAGATATCAACACATATTCATTGCACCTTCAACACTGTCAACATATAGCATCACAACACAATTCAACATATATTAATATAGGCAACTCGATCTACTACATCACAATATCAACATGAACATATTATATCAACAACTCAAATTGTTCATCACAACAACACAATAACAAGATGTGTTGTCACACATTTCAACAATGAGATTTTCTACAACAAAAAATGAACAATTTAAGTGACTTGACCCTACCGAACCAACAATACAAGATGATGTTTTTGGATTTGCTAGATCAACAACATATTGGATATCAATCCATAACACAACAATTTGATTTCTCGAATATCACCACTTAAATAAGAATGTCTAATATTACTATCAGGGTAGAACAACTAGGTATAAGTCTACCACAACATTAGCTAGCTTAATTAAGTCTCCTATCGGATTAGCTCACCAACGCCCTCCAAATATTATGCCCTCTCCATACTTGATTATGAATTAAGTTTTCGACTTCATACTTTACTCGGTTAGTCACTTATAAATAGTATAGCTTGACCTTGTCCTTTACTATGGTCACTTTATACATGTGTATTTCGATCTTACTCACACATGGTACCAATTAAGGTCCTAGAGAAGACTTAACTATCTCATTCAAGGGTCAGTTTCCCAATAAGGGTTTTCCTACAAATTGAACTCTCATAACTCTATAACATAATATTCATATAATGGGATATGTAACCTTTTAAAACAACATCGCCTCTAGTCTTAAGTTGATCAACACATTTTTCAACATCATGCCTAGATGCCTAAAACATTTTCAACATTCATCATCTCAGTAATACAACAACATCATGCTTAAAGCATATACAACCAACTACACCACCAACACACAATATACATCTCAACTCACTTTTAACTTTCAACCATCAACCATCTTTAATTACCATCATATATTGACACATACATAATAATCAACATTAAGAAACTTAAAAACATGCAATAAATTAATCTACTTTACTCATGTACTCAATTGTGAACTTGAACAACTAGTGTCCACTGAGGCAAGGAACTCTTTATCTTGCCTATGCCCATTGATAAACAACTTGCACCAAGTGTCGATAAGGTAAAGGCTTGTGGAGCCTCACGTTTGGCGTGACAAAGTCCATGCCCAACCTTACTTCAGGTGGAGAGTCTTTGCCTGACTCATGTCTGACATTGCCTCAAGAACCTGAAACTCAACAACTTCCAAAAATGCAACACTACAAATTGACTAATAAATCACAACCAATATATAAATGCACTCAAATTTGACATGCAACAATAATAAATTAATTCACCATTTTCGTCCAACATGCTTTCGAGACCCAAAACCCCAACTTAGGTCATTTCATTTTAATCATACAACTCAGTAGCAACTCAAATTAAAATCATCCATAACAATGCAACACAATGACAAAGATTTCTGACTTTCCTTACCTCAAGATCAATTCAAAAAATGAGAAGGAGAAGGAAAAAATCCCATACGACTCAGAGAAACTTCACACAACTACCCTATCATGATTCTAGGTTCCTATAACTTGAATCAATTATAGGTTCCTATAACCTGAATCAACAACAATACACCACATATAAGATTAGAGGAAGAATTGGAGAAGAGTTAGAGGGAATGGAAGCTCGTGCACTAAAGCACTTATCTCTAGAGTTCCTCTCTCTAAGTTTCTAAAAAATCGAAGTTATAAAGCTCCATTCAAAATATAAATTTTATATACTCCCCTCAGGGTCAGATTGAACTCTATCCGAAGAAACCCTCAACACTACTTAAACTCATAAAAAAATAATCATATTTTAAGGTTTTTCAACACATAACAACACTTTAACACAACAACCAACATATAATTAAAACAACTATGATACGTTACAATTCACGGTGATTATTTTTTTTATAAGGTGATATAATTCTTTTTATCAAATTGTCCCTTATAAAAATAAAGTAATACCTCTAATTTTGACTTTATAATTAAAGTGAAAATCAAACTTCAATTAAAAAATAAGATAATTTTTTATTACATATTATCTAAATTAATAAGTATTTTCAAGTCTCCTATACCATCATTGTGATGGTTGATAGGACTCAATAAAAAATTATAATAATTAATGAAAAGTAAATTATAATTAAAAATAATTTATTAATGAATAATTAGTGTTAGTAAAAATTTGTTACTTGAACTTCAAGTGTAAATCCAGTTTTTTTTTTTCAAAAAACTTTTAACTCTTACTCTACCTCTAGTATGGCAAAAAAAAAAAAAAAACTATGTTATGGTTATTTCATGATTGCAAATGAAAATTTAATTAAAATTAATAGACTTTGAAAACTTTTGCATTAACTTATTTTTAATTATAAATTTAATGCGATTTAACTAATAAAAAAGTTGTTTCTCAACCATCTTAATTATTTTCCGTTTATCTCTACCTACCACTTATTTTGTTGGATCTACATGTTTCATCTTTATTTCAAATTATTTTTCAAAATAATTTAAAAAACTATTTTTCAATAGTTTAACACAATATTATATCATAATATAAAATATCTTCACAAATAAAAATATATAAATATGTATTTAACTTTTGTAAAAAAAATTAAATATATTTTTAATCTTTTATAAAATGAGTGAGTTTTAATTTTGATTATTATAATTTTTTATTTTTTTTCATTCTTCTAAAATTTATAAACATAGCTTTTGGTCAATTTAAAATATTTTTTTTATTTAATTCTTGTGAAATGTTTTTATTTTATTCTCATCTCTTTTCTTTCTCTTTCTCCCTTCTATATCTTTTTCATATTTTATTTTTTTTCTCTCTTTCTTTCTTCTCTCTTTTCTTATGTCTTCTCTATTTCATATTTTATTTATCTTTTTATTCATCTCTCATTTATTTCTTTTTCTACCCTTTCTTCTCTTTTTTTCCTCCTATCTATTTTTATTTATCAATATTCTTTTGTTATATTTTTATCTATTAATATTAATATATAATTTATCAATATTTGTTTTTAAATTATAAAGCATTTAAAATCATTGTTAAATTATTAAATATTATATATTATTAATTTTTTACAAATTAAAATTTAACAAATATTTATTTTTAATAAAACTTAATACTAAAATATAATTTTTTAAACATATATTAAAAATATATTTTGACATTTATTTAAATTTAATAGTATGAATGAGAAAATATAAATACATAAAGAGTTGTACATAAAAAAATATTATTTAAAAAAACATAAAACTATAATCAATTATTTATTAATAGATCAAAAATTTTATTAATTTTATCTTTTTTATTTAAACCCTATCATTTTTATGTATAAAGAAATTGTTTTATTAATTTTATCTTTTTTATTTAAATCATATCATCTTTTTATAAAAAAAATTATTTTATTTTAAGAAATATAATAAAATTTTATAAATTTTTAAGATATAAATTTATTAAAATTTATATTAAATTTTTTTAATTAAATTTAAAAAAAATCTTAAAAATCATTATATTCATACAAAGTCTTTTAAATTTTTTTAAAAATAATTAAATTTCTACACAATCTTTTAAAATTACGTTACCTTATCCTTAAAAGAAAAAGTTCTTATATTATATCAACACAACACAGCACATGCATTCCTTATAACTGTGCTGTACTCATTTTTTTCAGCAAAAAGTTTCTTGTGGTGCACGCGATTTTATCAGCGATGGTGGAGAAGCACAACCTCAAGAACCCATCCGTGAAACGGATTCTCCGAGAGGTCAAGGAGATGCAATCAAACCGTTCCGATGACTACATGAGTCTCCCTCTTGAGGTTTTTATTCTTTTCAAAAAAAAAATTTGTTTATAGTCTTTTCTTTAGTTCTGGCTATTTATGGATTTCCATAGTGCGATCTTTCCTTTTTACTCTTCAATTTCACGAATTATTTAGCCACGGGTGCATGTCATTTTGCTATCTCGTTGCAATTAACAAAATGTTATATCCTATTCATGAAAAATGGTATTGTAATTGTTAGCAATTTAGCCCGGTTCTGGATTTTGGCTAATTGCAAATTTTGAAGATAAAAGAAATAAATAATAGGGACTATTTTTTTTTTTAAAGAATATATCTTGGTTGTGGGCCTTGTGGCTTACGATTTTGCGGTAGTCATCAAGTAAAGGAATAAAACAATTTATAATGCATTCAAGTGCTATGTGAGCAATTTAAATATGGTTTTTATTTTTTTCAGGAGAATATATTTGAATGGCAATTTGCAATTAGGGGACCTCCTGATAGTGAATTTGAGGGTGGTATTTATCACGGAAGGATCCAGTTGCCTTCAGAATATCCCTTCAAGCCTCCTTCATTTATGTTGCTGACCGTAAGAAGTTTCCCTCTAGATTGAATAATTTATTAAAATGTTGAGCTGAATTTGTTTTTAGTGCTTCTGTTTTTAAGCTGTCGTTGGTCAAATTATAGAAACTTGAAGGTTAAATTTCTCTGTTAAGATTTCAGCCTAGTGGTCGTTTCCAGACGCAAACTAAGATTTGCTTGAGCATATCAAATCATCATCCTGAGCATTGGCAACCGTCATGGAGCGGCAAGTGATATTTCTTTCGCCCTGTTTGCATTAAAGTTGGTCTAAAAGAAACGAAAATTGAGGAAGAGGAAAATTTTTTTGCTTCCTTTCTCCCATTATTTGCAACATATCTTACTCCAAGTTTTACATCATATTTCTCGTGACTTGTGTTAACTATGTATAAGTCTCGATACAAATTCAAAAGCACTCTTAAAAAATTTCTAAAAATTCGATACAAATCTCAAAACACTTACTAAATTTATATCCAAATCCAAACAGACTCAATGTCTTCGTGACTCTTGTTTAAACCATTGATTATGAATGTTGAAGCTATATATGTTCATTGCATTTGATGGAAGAAGGTTCTCACTGAGTTGATACAACTGTATTTTGGCAGTAAGAACTGCTCTGGTTGCACTAATTGCATTCATGCCCACCAGCCCAAATGGTGCCTTGGGCTCATTAGACTACAAGAAGGAAGAGAGGCGTGCTTTGGCCATTAAATCTCGTGAAGCAACTCCAAGATTTGGGACTCCTGAACGTCAAAGACTGATTGATGAGGTAAAATGTTGCCCATTGTTTTTTATCCACTGCATTTTTTTTTTCTTCTGAATCATCTTTTGCTGATTGAACTCTTTTATCCCAGATACACAAGTATACGCTAAGCAAATCATCTCCTGTTCCACAATGTGGCCACTCAGAAACTTCTGAAGAAGCCTCCAAAACCAAGGAGGCCGAGACTCAGGTTAATTTGAAAATTCCGGAGGCTTTACCTGCAGTAGAGGGGATTCCAGACCAAGCAGGTGACAGAATAGTTGAAGAACAAGAATTCCCTGTCAATGCTAATCCTAACCCTGCAGGAGTTGAGGCTTCGGTGGTGAATCCATCCAGCATCTCAAGCAAGCAGTTGCTCCAAAAGTCAGATGCAAGGTTTCAGAATTTGAAACCAGAGACAAGGGTTCAAAAACCTGATGATCGATTGTTCACACTGGCAGCTATTGGACTTACTATAGCAATTGTGATCCTTTTGCTGAAGAAGTTTGTTAATTCTGAACATGGTGCAGTTTTCATGAATGAATCATAGATGTATTCTTTGCTCTTGGCTTCAAGGTCAAGATTCTTAACCTCCCAAGTCAATAGGAAAATCTAGCACTTCTCTTGTTAATATTTTATGATCTTTCAATTTGTACGTAGGGCTTGTAATTATGATAATAAAATACATTGGCTTGTAATGATGATAATAAAATACATTTTTGCTAACTTTGAGTTCGGGAGCAGGGTTGAACAGTCCCACTCCCCATTATTAAAACTTGATGCAGTGTCTAGTGTATCTGTAATAATATGATAATGGAAAAGATACTTGACGGGAGGAACACGGAAAATTTCTCTTCTGCCTCTGAAAGAATCAGAAGTATCTGTAATACAGATTGGTTGAAGAGAATAAATTTTTATTTAATTTAACCTATCTCTTTAAAATACTATAGATATTATCAGCACTAGGCACTGTAAATACAGCATGCTGAAGCTCTAACTTTGCTATAGCATATTGATACAAGTAAACAACATTTTCCAAACTGACATCACGTTCAAGTACGAGTCTTAAGCCAACTGCATTTCAATATCTTCCTCCATGAACTCTGAGTTCTATACTCAAATATTTGTTCAATAAGCCCCGCAAAATAGAATTTATCATCCATACATTCCACTTTTCCGCACAACCTCTTGAACATATCACAAACTTCTTTCTCCGTATAATTATTATCGATGATCAGAATCCCCAGGTGGCGGAACAGCTTCACATCGTTTTCGTTGCAGACCAAGGCTTTCATTAAGAAGGCATAAGATGTGAACGGTTGAGTATCATTTTGATGCTGCTCCAACGCTATCAGATTGGAAAATATCATTTCTGTGATTCGATGGATTCGAAGGGGAGGAACTTCAATGACCCCATTAGAAAAATTCATGTTTAGTAAGCTTTTGGTTGAGAAACTCTTGGACTTAATCCCATCATTCTTGAGCTGTGTTGCACATTCAAGATCACCTATTGATACACGTTTTTTGGACCCTACTCTTGCATAGGTTGGTAGATAACACTGGCGAATTAAGTCAAGCAAATGATAACCCTCTTGGCTAAAGTTCTCATTCACAATTTCCTTATCCCCTGGTAACATATTTCTGAAGAAACGAATGGCAAGCTCGTAGAGGGTCATCAGGGTCATGTCATGTTGTACAATTTTGAATAGCTTTTGAAGAACGAGGAGCGGTATTTGGTTTTCCAACAAGATGAGGTCACACCTTACCCTGTTGAGTAACCCTGGCGTGGTGAACACGGGGTCCCCTCGGCGTCTGATACCCTTTTGAGCATACTTCAAGAAAAGCTCAATGATGAAACACCCATCAACTAGCATCATCTCTATGAACTGGTTGCTTTTGAGGCTGAGTTCTTCTGCGTAGAAACTTCGTGCTGGCTTCTCCAAATCGCTTAGCGCGTTCACACACTCGTGCAGGTTTGACTCGAGCTGGTTCGGTTGTCGGCTCAACAGTGTGAACACGTAATGCCACTTACGATCTTCCATGTGTTTTAGAGCATCCTTGCCGTGATGGAGAGGACCAATTGAAACCGTGCCAGGGATGTACATCTTGTCGTTTGCTTCTACAAGTTTCTCTGGGACTCTGAAGATTGATTTCAAAGATGAAACGGCTTCGAGCTTCTCTTTAATTGATGACACAAGGTCTTTGTTTGCTTGTTTGATGGTGGAAACAGGTTCATGGTCCATGTTTTTGAACCGGAAAATCCACTGAAGGACATACAATTTATTTTACATATCATGAAAATCATTGTCAAATCACATTCACACACAATAGACACGGCAAGAAATGTTAACCGATAAAATTGATTTTTTTAATTCATTTTTGATTATGAAAATAATATGTATTTGAAGATGCAATGCACATGCTTCTATTTTTGGTGTACAATAGAATCTATGACTTTGTCTGTCTAAACCTTAAAACATCTCATTATTCGACCGACCCAAGTGGAATAAGATGCGCATGCTCAATTGCTCATACTTCTGGAGAATATGTATGGGACAAGACACCAAATGTGAAAAGAATGAGGGTACTTGGGTAGTTATATCCAGATTCAAGGAAAACAAAAATGATAGAATGTTAAATTCACAAGATATATAAGAGCTCTATGGCCAAACAAAGAGTTTACTTTTGGTTTGACATTTTATACGTTGAGTCCACTATATGCTATCCCATAACTCGTCTTTAGCATTTTAGAATAGCTTTATAGTTATTAAAATTTATAACTTCCTAGCTCGGTTTGTACATTGAGCATTATATATTTGCTACGCAACCACTGAAAATTTTGTTTTTATGAAAGAATGTTAGTTATATTGTTTTGTTTTATACAATATGAAATAAATATCCTCTCAAATGTAAGGATGTGCAAAAAAAATTCAAACTGATATGAATTGATTCATAATCAATTTAATCTGCATTAAAAATCTGATCCATTTTAAAAAAATTTGAATTAATTTACTTTATAAAAATACTTTAATTATTTAATCAACTTTTATAAATTGACTCGGTTTGAATTATTTTTTTTTAAAAATCAATCTATATCTATATATAAATAAAAAATAGATAACTGTATTATACTGAATTGATCAAATTTAAAAAAAAAAAAATATATATATATATATATATTTTTTTTTTTTTAAAAAATTGAACCAATTAGCGACACGTCTCCTCAAACATGTTAAAACATCAATCAAAGCCCACATGCAGAAAAAATCAATTAGCAGCCCCCCTCACCCCAAAATTATTAAAAGTAAAATTATCTTTTTCTTAGCGTTAACTGGGTATGTTACTTTACTGTTATAAATATTTTTTTCTTTCCAATTTCAATTCCCCATTTCTTTAGAATTGGTAGTGTTATTTTGTTGATTTGATTTAGTAAATTCATAGAAATAAAATTCTTGGAGATCATAAAAAATTAAAGATCCTGTCTTCGAAAGAATACTCGGGATTTTGTTTCTCTCCTTGTCCTTCCACAGCTCACAGTAGTTTCAAAAATTATTACAAAAAAAAAAATTATTAGAAAATTTAAAATAAAAAAAAAGCGTGGACCTGTATGTGAAGTTGTGAACTCTAATGTCAGTTGTCTGAATCGTTGTTTCCTGCAAATCTGTTTCTGTCTTTATCTCCCTCAAGAATGTTGCATCGATTGCCTTGATATCTTAACCGGGTTAGATATATAACATATATTACATATATACTTATGGAAACTACCGCGGCTACTACTATATATAACATGTATAATCGAAACTTGATCAGAATCCTAGGAAACTTGAGAAGTGTGGTAAGAGAAACAAATTAGATAAACCAATGCATAAGAAAAAGGGAACAAAACTCAGATATATTTCTGAACTGCACGTAATAAAAAGAAAGCACAACTTGCTGCAGATGGTAAAGCAAAAACTGATTAGCATTGGTTACGTAACAGATAATTTAAGAATTGTTTACTGTGATTGTACGAGTCAGTACGTGAGAATGAATGGTTTCCCCTACTTTAACATTACTTATACTCCATTCTTTTGTTACTGTTCTTGTCTTTGGAGTGAACTTGATGCCGTAGACCTGTTTTAAAGGCTCCTTTATTAACTATCGGATAATCAGAAATCGTATGCTGCTAAGTACTAACCAATTTCAATGAGTGATAATAAATAATTACTGTAAGAGAGGAAAATAAGATTTTTTTTTCTTCTTTAAATTAAAATTAACTTATACATAAATTAATTTATATAAATTTTATTCTATTAATTTCTTTAAAATTTTGTTTTTAATTTATACATAAGTTAATTTTAATTAATAAAAAAATTTATTTCAATTTTTTTCTCTTAAAAATAATTACGTTTAAGCTTATCCAAACAGAATATATTAAAACTCAACTAATTACAAAGACAACGGTTGTATTAAAGGAGAAGTAAGTAATCTTAACTAGGTCGGTGACTGCGATTCTTCAAAGAAATGTTGCACGTGGCAACAGAACTTTGCAATCAGCTGGAAAAGATCTCCAACGTTTTTTTTAACGAAGAGTTCTTTTAGACTATGAATAATGAAATCACATAAAATTAGATGGAACTGTATCGACGCGTTGATATAATTCATTTAAAATCAAACTATATTTATAAAATTAATTTTAAGTAAATATAATTGAAGTAACGTGATTTTCATTTCGGATAACAAATTATATGAATTTGATTTTTATATTAAATGTTGTTTTAAAATTTGTTATCAAAAATAATTTTGAATGTATAATTATAAAATTTAAATAGATAAAATTTTAGAATTAATTTTGTTTGATGAAAAAATTACTGATAGTTATTTTTAAGTAAATGTTAATTTTTAGTTCTTGAAATCAATTTTAGTAACGTAATTTCAATCATTTTAAATGTAATGAAATTGATTACGGGCATGTTTAATGTGAACAAAAACATATCCTAAATAAATTATTATTTCATTGTAATGTTATACAAGATATTATTTTGAGTTGGGTTAAATTATTATTTCATTGTAATGTTATATAATAAAAAAAATATTAAACTCTTATTTTTAACGCTTCAAACAATAAAATTAATATTTTCATTATTTTCCTTTCTTTGGCATTAAAAAATAAGGAAAAGGAGAAACGTTAACATTTAAATTGAAAAAAATACAACCATATAAAATTCTAATTTTTTTGTAAATATTTTTTCATTTTATTTTTTCAATCAAATAATATATTATTATCTATATTTTCTCCTCTGTTACATTTCTTTTCATCCTAAGATATTATTTATTCCATTATTTTCTATCAATATATATAATATAATACAAAAGTGAAGATGATGCTTGAGTCCGCCATTTATTATAATAATATTGCTAGAAGAGAGCAAACATTATGGTGATGGCTTATAAGTTATATTATTAATTCAGCATATCCATTATCCTGTTTGCATGGAAGCATTTTACACGTACGCATCAACAACAATGGATGTTCGGCTCAACTTTGAACAGGGCAGAGCGGAGAAAATTTGGGGTATAACACAATATAATAAAAAATATAATAATTATTATTAATATAATATTAACTTTATATTAACTATTTAGTTTTATTAGTTGCAAGATTATTTATTATTTATTTTTAATTTTTACATTAGTTTCTCATTTTCAAAACCAGAGTCATATTTCTTAATTATTGATTTTTTTTATTTCTATAATTCTATAAAGTATAAAAATAAAGTAATAGAATATGAAAATAGATAAACTACATGTTAATATTATCTAATGCACAATCTGATATCAATTATTTATTTTAATAATTTATTTCAAGACTTAAGAACAATGTGAAGATGATAGAAAAAGAATAAGAGGAAAAAAATAGTTAATGTAATAGCATTCTAATCATACCACCATCATCGCTACCAATCTTGAGAACATAAATACTTTTTTTTTGTGCAATTGAGAAAGTAAATACTTTGGACATTATAGCATCAACTAGGAAATAAGAATTTTAAAGTATGAAGAGTGGTTAGTTTGATAGAATAATTTATTAGTTATTATTAGTTTGTTAGAGGTTTTTTTTTTTTTTGAGAATTAGTTTGTTAGAGCTAATTGCTAGTTGTAATTAGCTCACAACATACAGAGCATATTGTATCGTTTATCAACCATACAAATTGATTTTCTATAGTTCTCTTGAGGTTTTTAATGATGTATAATCACAATACGTTGGTATTACTTATTTTTCCACAAATCTCATTTCTGATATAAAAAAAAGGGCAACTAATAGAATGCAGATGTAATTGAAAATTACCATATATACTTGGAATTCTTGTCTATACTCGTTCGATAAGTTGAAACGGGCCAATCAAATTCTGAATGGTTACTTTAAAAAGGCTGTCTGACGTGCTAAGCTGCACTTTTTGCTTCAAGTGGGTACAGATAGAGACCCAACATTAACAACACTGAAGCACACTAACTTTTTGATTCTAATCTATGTAGTCAAATGAACATTTTCCCCCCCTCCTTTTGGCTACCTTCTGTACAAATAAAATAGTGGCGCAAACATTTGCATATAAAATTACAATGCAGGTGGTAATCGATCCGATTGACTAGAATACCAAACATACAAAACCACCAATCAATTGAAGAAACTTTAGATGCCACTAGAGAAAAATAAGATGACTAACCCAATCACTATCCAAAGTTTAGCAATCCCCATCTTTCTTTTTATCAGTCTATCCCCCTTCTATGTAATACCTTGGCAAATGTTGGTGAAGGACTCGGATCAGCTATTCTACATGCGTTCCAAAACCAGCTGTTTGCACTAACTCAATTACTCTGGGAGCTTTGGTAAAATATATGCAAAAAAATCATTAAGCATCAGCCACATGTGACAGAAAAAATAGCTCCACTGTTGTTTAGGAATCCTTTTGGGTGCTTTCCTTGGCAGTGGATCGGGTAGCCTGGAACTGAATGGCATACCATTTCTGCAGCTCTCTAAGCCTTTCAAGCAGTTCCGGGAATGTTGGCCGGCAAGCTGGATCGCTGATAGGAATAGACAAATTTATAAGTTAGCAAAAGATGTTTGGTAACTCCACAACATGGTATCAATATCGATGAGTAAAACTACCAAAAGGAGGTAAAAAGATATATGGAATCGGGTGTAGATTAGATATAAAGAATGGCTTAAATACGTTTCGTCTCTTTACAATGAGTGCGTTTGTTTTCACTCCTCAAAACTGAAATAATATATATATATATATATATATATATATATATTATAAGAGATAA